GAAGCTGTGTCTAGGGTGACCAAGTTACATAGGGCAGGACAAAGCTGGGCCTAAGGTGACCAAGTTACTTAGGGCAGGACGAAGCTGGGCCTAGAGTTACCAAGTTAGTTAGGGCACGAAAAAGCTGGGCCTAGTGTGACTAAGTTACATAGGGCAGGACGAAGCTGGGCCTAGGGTGACCAAGTTACATAGAGCAGGACGAAGCTGGGCCTAGGGTGACCAAGTTACTTAGGGCAGGACAAAGCTGGGCCTAGGGTGACCAAGTTACAAAGGGCAGGACAAAGCTGGGCCTTTGTTGACCAAGTTACATAGGGCAGGACAAAGCTGTGTCTAGGGTGACCAAGTTACATAGGGCAGGACAAAGCTGTGTCTAGGGTGACCAAGTTACATAGGGCAGGACAAAGCTGGGCCTAAGGTGACCAAGTTACTTAGGGCAGGACGAAGCTGGGCCTAGGGTGACCAAGTTATATAGGGCAGGACAAAGCTGGGCCTTGGTTGACCAAGTTACTAAGGGCAGGACGAAGCTGGGCCTAGGATGACCAAGTTACTTAGGGCAGGACGAAGCTGGGCCTAGGGTGACCAAGTTACATAGGGCAGGACGAAGCTGTGCCTAGGGTAACTAGGCTACATAGGGCAAGGGGGGGTCAGGTCTAGGTTGACCAAGTAACAATGCAGTATGGACTTGAGGGAGGGTGACAAGGTTACCAAGGGCAGTATGGAACCAACTGAGGATGACAAGGTTACCAAGGGCAGTATTGAACTTGACTGAGGGTGGCAAGGCTACCAAGGGCAGTATGAACCTTACGTAGGATGGCAAGGTTACCAGGGGCAGTATGGAACCAACTGAGGATGGCAAGGCTACCAGTTGCAGTATGGAACTTGACTGAGGGTGGCAAGGCTACCAAGGGCAGTATGAACCTTACGTAGGATGGCAAGGTTTCCGAGGGCAGTATGGAACCAACTGAGGGTGACAAGGCTACCAAATGCAGTATGGAACTTGACTGAAGGTGACAAGGTTAACAAAGGCAGTATGGAACTTGACAGAGGGTGACAAGGTTAACAAATGCAGTATGGAACTTGACTGAGGGTGGCAAGGTTAACAAATGCAGTATGGAATTTGACTGGGGGTGACAAGGTTACCAGAGGCAGTATGGAACTTGACTGAGGGTGACAAGGTTAACAAAGGCAGTATGGAACTTGACAGAGGGTGGCAAGGTTAACAAAGGCAGTATGGAACTTGACAGAGGGTGACAAGGTTAACAAAGGCAGTATGGAACTTGACTGAGGGTGACAAGGTTAACAAAGGCAGTATGGAACTTGACAGAGGGTGACAAGGTTAACAAAGGCAGTATGGAACTTGACAGAGGGTGACAAGGTTACCAGAGGCAGTATGGAACTTGACTGAGGGTGACAAGGTTACCAGAGGCAGTATGGAACTTGACTGAGGGTGACAAGGTTACCAGAGGCAGTATGGAACTTGACTGAGGGTGACAAGGTTACCAGAGGCAGTATGGAACTTGACTGAAGGTGACAAGGTTAACCAAGGTAGTATGGAACTTGACAGAGGGTGACAAGGTTAACAAAGGCAGTATGGAACTTGACTGAAGGTGACAAGGTTAACAGAGGCAGTATGGAACTTGACTGAGGGTGGCAAGGTTACCAGAGGCAGTATGGAACTTGACTGAGGGTGACAAGGTTAACAAAGGCAGTATGGAACTTGACAGAGGGTGGCAAGGTTAACAAAGGCAGTATGGAACTTGACAGAGGGTGACAAGGTTAACAGAGGCAGTATGGAACTTGACTGAGGGTGACAAGGTTACCAGAGGCAGTATGGAACTTGACTGAAGGTGACAAGGTTAACAAAGGCAGTATGGAACTTGACTGAAGGTGACAAGGTTAACAGAGGCAGTATGGAACTTGACTGAGGGTGGCATTCATTTTTGTAAAGATCAGTAATAACAACACTGATAAGATGACTTTATTTATTCATTTATTTAACAGGTCTTACGTCCGCTATTACGGCCTTTTGGTCTTTCAACATTTCATGAGACGCGATAAATAAGACAATTAGGTTATTATGCATACAAACAATTTCAGTACTCTACATACACAAGTTAATAAATATTAATTCATAAATATTGGTGTTCTATGCTTGTTCATTTCAAAGTCCAAGTTTGCAGTAAAGAGGAGAAGGTTACGAATAAATTTGTGAACGAACGGAAGGAACAGGAAAAAATCAATAAAAAATCAACAGAATGACGCATCCTATTTATGTATATAGTTATATATTTATTACATACAACATGCAGTGATAAAATACGACATAATTAATTTTTTTTTTAGTTCCATTACATCAGTGTCCAGCCACTGACATGATCGTCGTGTTTAAGATGGCGATGACGCCACGGAGAGATCGAAGTCCGTGGTAACACATTGGTAAATGTGGATATGTCGGTGTGTGTCTTGTTAAAATCTTGCAAAATTTAAGCTAATTAAAAAAGTACACACATCAGTGAAGCCATGAATCATGCAGTTTAAAATGTTGATCAACTTGAGCTCACTTTCATTATTTTCCAAAGATTTTCATTCGTCACTCAGACACACTATCATTTACAACAAGCCAACAGTCAATACAAACATACAAGGACATGGTAGACACTATTACACGTATTTTATGCAGCATCATTATAAAGATTATATAATATTACCCACACCGTGTTATTAATTATACAGTAACATTATAGAAGATATTACACCAGGTACAGGACAGTGATATGCCAAACATTTTTTACACTCTGATGATATAGGCAATATGAACCAGAACAAGGCAGTGCTGATTTCTTGTTAATTTTTATTTGTTAATTGACATACCACTCAGCTTGGTACATATGTTGATATCGTTGTGTTTTTCTCGCATCAGTGCCTTTGTTAAAAGAAATCGGCGACAAGACAATCATAGTGTTCTTATATATATATATATATATATATATTATGTCATAATGAGTTATAATAAGGTAAACAAAAGGCCTTTATCACTAAACCCACGGTCAATATTTCACCATAATTGAATTAACATATTGTAACATATAATCTTATCGTAATGTGCACACATCCTGGCATTTGTTGGTAGCAACAAAACTACAACAACCATTTTGTTCATTAACAGTTTAACGCCAGGCCATGTCTCTCCGTGGTTGCTTGAACATTTTCTTCGTCACCCATGCAGACTTCCAATATTTCTATATATAATTCATTTTTTCAATTTTAAGTAGAGAACATCCAGTGCAGTCGGTCTTGCCAGTTTTCCTCATTATGAAATTTTACAGGCAGGTTGCTTTGAAAACCTGCCAAAAGTGAAGTTAGTAATATCTGAGATCTTTCTGTTTTGATCAATTATCCGCACGGGTGTAGACCATCTTTGTACTTACATAGACATAGATTATTGGTCCTATTTCATTCATACTTAGACAAATGCCGATATGTGATGTTGAGTGAGTGGGGCTATTTCTGTGAGACACGTAATATCATGCTTGTATATAGTGTTTAAATACGGTCTGTCAGTGAGCTGACGGAGTATGCTTTTTGGCTCAGTTGGCAGAGCTGGTCGTTTATCACGCCAGAGATCCGGGTTCGATTATAAATATAAATATAAACTTTATTTATTTTACAACAATTGCGAAACAAGTTATGTCAACTTATATTAATCACTCTTGTTGGCCCGGATGTAAGCGCGCGAGGGGTCTTCTTGTGGGAGGAAGCCGGAGTACCCGGGGAAAACCACCCAATATTAACGTTTTTCAGAAAAATTAAATTTTGGTCGCCATGGCAACTTTAAACTGAGAAAAGAAATAATTTTGCTGTGAAATTCTAACAAATAAGTTTTTCAGTTCCCTATTATATATTCTGGTGGTTGGCTAAACTTAATTCTGTTATACAAAGCTTTTCTTATGTAATGAAATTTGGTCAGACCAAAAAATGAAATTTACTAACTTCAGTAACATCAGATATTCGAAAAACGAGCTAGTGACCATAGCAACAACCATGAATCAGTAAATTCCTGGCATAAAAATAACCTTAGGTTCCTACTCCAGGAATTCACAATACTATGTCTTTCGCAGGGATGTATTTTTTTATTGTTCACTTCCAGCGTCGAAAACATTTGCTAATGATAGGAAATAGATATTTTTTCAAATGTTGAAATTTCTGGTTGCTGTTTTAACGTCATTATTCGTAAAATTACTGAAAGGGTAACAGATTTTTCCTGACAAGGTCCATTTTTATCCCTGTTGTTTTACACTTTGGTGTGACTTAGCCTACCAGTGTTCCAATCCAATGATCTGAAAAGATTGAAAGAAATTAAAGAAAGCAACTAACATCAGCTAACATCTACAATAAGTCCGCTGCGACAGACGGACAAACGAGTAATACATGCGTTTTACGAGTTTGTATAGCAAAAAATGCAGGTTGATTATGAAAATTACGGGGAAGTCCTAGTGATTTCGTTGAGAAATATTCTTTTTCAAGCAGGTTAGTCTGTCTGTTGGTTCCATTGCTGTATATACATTGTTCTCATTTTGAAAACGTGACATTGCTTACGTGGATTAACCAAGATTTACATGGCGAGTGTCGTCGATGAAGCAGGAGCCGCTTAGTTTTCCAGAACACCTGGTCTTAGTCTTGTACTTTTTCAGGAGTCTCCGTGTAAATTATTCTTTTCGTCATATTTTATCCTAGTTTTATTGAATTTGAGTTTAGAATATGATTATGTTGACATGTTGGTATTTTCTTGTTTTGTTTTTGTTTTAATAAAGTTATCTACTGGGTACAGTATTATTAATACAAGCATTTATCACTACATAGCTGACATAGGTACACTGTTAACTACATTTACCGCCGTTGCTTTAAGAAGGTGTGTAGTAATGTAAGACAGTGATTGGCTGACAGAGTCTGACCTTCAACTGAAAGAACCAACCGCGAGCAATGTACACAGTGACCACTGCCACTGTTTACAAAAGATACAGCGCGGAAGAAACAGCTTGCTGACGTTTTTGAGGTAGGTCATCAGTGAAATAATGTAATGAAACCCGTGTTTGTATCATAAACATATCTACTGTAGTGTTTCTACGCGAATATTGGACAGAAATCACCACTTTTCTCGTCAAACATGAACCGGCGTTGTTACTCTTTAACTCGGTCATTTGTACGGCAGACGTAGACGGAAAAATTGTAAACGGCTAAACAGGACTCAAGACACAGTCATGTTAGTTGTCACACATGTCCACTTTGAGTCTCAGTACTTACAGGAGTGCTTTTGAAAGACCGTATCATTTACAAGTAATAGATTCAATGACTACACTTTCTGGTAATGGGGCCACGTCAAGGGGAATTTTTTGCTTAACGTAAACGTTAATCTTTAATTTTACATGTTGTAATTAATTCGTGTTCAGTGAAAGTCACACAGACACGAGACAGGTATGATTTATTACCGACTCTCCTAGGTGTTGGTGATCATAGAGGCGTCTCTCTAGCATCACCGACCATATCGTTTTACCACAGAGTCACACAACCAATTGTATACCAGTCAAATCCTGGATTACTTTTAAAATACGGGATCCCGACTAATATCTACCTCTTTGAATACATGTATGTATCCACTTATTTATCAATATATTAATATATTTACACATGAATAAAACTGCTAAAAAAGCAAAAACAAACAAAAAATGATTGAAATCCAGAGTTTATTTTTATGTTAGATTTGTTAATGAAATATGTCTGAGATAGTTTGATAGGATGAAGAAGACTTGCAGTAAGGTATTAGATTTTGTACCTGATGTTTATGTCAAGTTCAAGTGAAATTAAGGGCAAGGTTATATATATATAGGCAGAGGTCAATTGTCAAATCTGAATCAGCTGAATGTAAAGTATGCTGTGTAGAAGTTGAGAGTACAGGTTGCCTTACAACCCTCTGCTAGCGGGAATTTCCCTTTAGTCAAGCGATAGAGTGTCCGGCTAGAGACCGAAGGGTCGCTAGTTCGAACCCCAGTGGTGGTAGGGTGCTTTTCGTTACCCTTCCTATTACAGCTGCATGGAGGCAATATCTTTGATTAGGCCATTGCAAGGTGTTTTTAAGTAATAAGTACAAAGATGACAAATCCCAATCTGCAACCCGGTTGTAATCGCTGTTTGAGTAATTAAAAAGTGATAATGATAATTGAATGCCATAGAATTGAAGTTTTTGCCAATAAATATTTTAACTTCAGGTTATTGTACAGTACTTATAAAACAGGATGATTTGAGATTGATGCAAATTTCATGATAAATAAAACAACAGCTGTAGGGATGGAGATAATTTTTCTACCAATTTAGTATGATATAAAACCGAGTCATTATAAAAACTTATTATATTTTACATATGTACATGTAGATTTAGATACAAAACATGCAACATTCTTTAATCTGTGTATCAAATAATATTCCTGGTTTTTTTTTGTGCACAGCTGTAATTGTGAAATAGGGCATGTGAGATAGAGCTGGTAACTCTAGAACTAGAGAACTATACCACAGATAGATATATATGCATGCATTATTAAATCAGTCATACACTTTATCGCAGTAAAGGATTTCGGTACAGCGGTCGACATAATTACATACTCATTGGAAGGTTGTGATTTTTGACGTGATTGTCACCAGAATATTAGCTGTATTTTCCCCATATTGAATAATCATCAGGTACTTATTGGACTTGGTGGATGTGATCCTGTGCTGATTTTGTTTTGATGTATTGTTACAACCAAACTTTTTAAGTATTTAAAAAAAACGAAGAAAATATTTAAACATATTGCTGAATTCAAGTTATGAAACGGTGCATGAAACTGTAGAAAAAAAATGTTTCTGAAATGTAATTTGGAAAAAGAAATGAAAATAATTGTCAGCAAATGTTCAATGATTTTACATGTTCTTGATAATAAGATGTGATTCATTTTCTTTTACAGGAATACAAGTGAAGGAGGTGTCGGATTTATCAAAAGTTCTTGTAAACAAGACAGAAACATCAGATTTAATCAGATTTAATCAGATTTGTTGTGAAACTAAGACATTATGTGGTGTCGGCACACACAACTGCTCTGTCAAAGAGCGTTGTCGTCTGCAGAATGCCAGAGATTCATAGCTGATGGCCCAAAGGTGATGGCCATACGCCGAGAAACTATCAATGTTTGGGAACGTCGTGCCCCTCTAGCTCCTCGACAGGTCCGGAAACTTGTGAAGAATGGCATTAAAGTTATTGTTCAGCCGTCCAACAGAAGGGCTTATAACATGATTGTACGTAATTTCACAGATCTCAGTAATCAATCTAAAATTTATCTTTCTGAGTTCTTTTTAGCTTAATTGCTGAAAAGAATGGGTATTGCAATGTAAAATTAAGGTATTTCAGTAAAATCTAGGAGTCTCCTAAAAATTCTATCAGTACAGGACTTTTGACTGGCAGGTAGATTTATCACTGAGATCTTCAGATTTACATTGTTATAAGTTTTATAGTTTGCAGATTAATGTAGTGATAAATTTTTGTTACTTTTAACTAATTAACTTCATCTATAATTAAAACTATATGGATGTTTCACAGTCAGGAAATACATTTTACATACAAATATTTATAGTATCATAATTGTTATACTTTGTAGGAGTATGACCAGACTTGAAGTATCATAATTGTTATACTTTGTAGGACTATGCCCAGATTTGAAGTATCATAATTGTTATACTTTGTAGGACTATGACCAGATTTGTAGTATCATAATTGTTATACTTTGCAGAAATATGCCCAGATTTGTAGTATCATAATTGTTATACTTTGTAGGAATATGCCCAGATTTGTAGTATCATAATTGTTATACTTTGCAGAAATATGCCCAGACTTGTAGTGTCATATTTTTATACTTTGTAGGACTATGCCCAGTGTGGAGCAGTGATACAAGAAGACATCAGTGAGGCGTCCCTGGTGATTGGTGTAAAGACTGTACCTATTGACCAGCTCATGCCAGATAAAACTTATGCCTTCTTCTCCCATACTATCAAGGCTCAGAAGGATAATATGCCTCTTCTTGATGCCATCCTAGAAAAAGTAGGTCTTACTTCTAAATTATCTGAAGTTTGTTTACAGAAGTAGTTGAAATTTCCCTTTAGTCAAGCGATATTGAGTCCAGCTGGAGAGCCAAGGGTTGCTAATTTGAACATTGGTAGTAGCAGGGTATTTTTCCTTCTTCCTATTACAATATTTCGTCATGGCATCAAATCTGTAATAGGAATGAGTAATAAAAACACCTTGCCACTCCTTGGATTCAAACTACCCATGGGACCATTTGGTCCCTAACTAGACACTCTACCACTTAACAAGCTGGAAATTCCTATTAGCTGAGGACACTATTTCTGTAGGTGTGTAATATACCTAGGTATGTACATGATGATAATAAGTTAAACAAATCAAGCATACAGGCTATATTTTCATTTCTTTCCTGAAAGACCCTTGTCACTCTGGTCCACTGATCTTTAAATCATGTCAATTCTCCGTGTTACAGAATATTCGTTTGATAGACTACGAGAAGATGGTGGATCATAAAGGTCAACGTGTTGTAGCCTTTGGAAAGTATGCTGGTGTGTCAGGGATGATCAACATACTCCATGGACTGGGACTGAGGCTGCTGGCCCTGGGACACCACACACCTTTCCTGGTACAGTATCTGGGGTAGTCCTTATCACTAACAACCAATCTCACCCTGGTACAGTATCTAGGGTAGTCCTTATCACTAACAACCAATCTCACCCAGGTACAGTATCTGGGGTAGTCCTTATCACTAACAAGCAGTCTCATCCTGGTACAGTATCTGGGGTAGTCCTTATCACTAACAAGCAGTCTCATCATGGTACAGTATCTGGGGTAGTCCTTATCACTAACAAGCAGTCTCATCCAGGTACAGTATCTGGGGTAGTCCTTATCACTAACAAGCAGTCTCATCCTGGTACAGTATCTGGGGTAGTCCTTATCACTAACAAGCAGTCTCATCCCAGTAGGTACAGTATCTGGGGTAGTCCTTATCACTAACAATCTCAGTCTATCCTGGTACAGTATCTGGGGTAGTCCTTATAACTAACAACAAATCTCAGACCTTATCACTAACAGCAGTCTCATCCTGGTACAGTATCTGGGGTAGTCCTTATCACTAACAAGCAGTCTCATCCTGGTACAGTATCTGGGGTAGTCCTTATCACTAACAACCAATCTCATCCTGGTACAGTATCTGGGGTAGTCCTTATCACTAACAAGCAGTCTCATCCTGGTACAGTATCTGGGGTAGTCCTTATCACTAACAACCAGTCTCATCCTGGTACAGTATCTGGGGTAGTCCTTATCACTAACAAGCAGTCTCATCCTGGTACAGTATCTGGGGTAGTCCTTATCACTAACAACCAGTCTCATCCTGGTACAGTATCTGGGGTAGTCCTTATCACTAACAACCAGTCTCATCCTGGTACAGTATCTGGGGTAGTCCTTATCACTAACAACCAGTCTCATCCTGGTACAGTATCTGGGGTAGTCCTTATCACTAACAACCAGTCTCATCCTGGTACAGTATCTGGGGTAGTCCTTATCACTAACAAGCAGTCTCATCCTGGTACAGTATCTGGGGTAGTCCTTATCACTAACAAGCAGTCTCATCCTGGTACAGTATCTGGGGTAGTCCTTATCACTAACAAGCAGTCTCATCCTGGTACAGTATCTGGGGTAGTCCTTATCACTAACAACCAATCTCACCCTGGTACAGTATCTGGGGTAGTCCTTATCACTAACAACCAGTCTCATCCTGGTACAGTATCTGGGGTAGTCCTTATCACTAACAACCAGTCTCATCCTGGTACAGTATCTGGGGTAGTCCTTATCACTAACAAGCAGTCTCACCCTGGTACAGTATCTAGGGTAGTCCTTATCACTAACAACCAATCTCATCCTGGTACAGTATCTGGGGTAGTCCTTATCACTAACAACCAGTCTCATCCTGGTACAGTATCTGGGGTAGTCCTTATCACTAACAACCAATCTCACCCTGGTACAGTATCTGGGGTAGTCCTTATCACTAACAACCAGTCTCATCCTGGTACAGTATCTGGGGTAGTCCTTATCACTAGCAACCAATCTCATCCTGGTACAGTATTTGAGGAAGATTTGTCACCTAGCAACCAGCCTCTTCTTGATACTGTATTTGGAATAGTCTGTACCACCTAGCTACCAGTCCTATCCTGATACTATCTTCAGGTAGTTTGTATCATCTCGAGACAAGTGTTATCCTGGTGTCAGGGGTAGTCTTCATCACCTGTCAATTAGTCCCGTCCTAGTACTACCTTAAATGTTGTCATTAGCAACCTGTATTGTAAACATATTTGGAATTGTAAGAAGGGCTAAAAAGACCAGAACACAAAGTTTTAGTGTCAAATAATATTTCAGAAATATAACTATTCTTCAGTATATCCCGTATATTGTGTAATATATTCATACTCTAGCAATGGTTATCATTTCTGGTAAATGGTGTTAAATTTTACTAGATCTTAAATTGTCTTTTACTTATAGTAGAATCTTGTATTCTCATCGAGGTTGTAATTTACAGCCAGGACTATGTTCTTCATTTGACATGTCATTACGTTCCTGTGTAAATCCTACTTTAGCACATTGGTCCAAGCCACAACTACACTAATACAGAGATGGCACGACGGGCAGTGAGGGATGCTGGGTATGAGATTGCTCTCGGACGCCTACCTAAGTCTATAGGACCACTCACCTTTATCTTTACTGGCTCTGGCAATGTGTCACAGGTAGGCTGAATCATGGCAGGTGAAATGTTAACAAATTAGAATCAAATGTTACAAAAGATTTGATTAACTTATTATGGTAAAGAAGAAAATTAATATCCATATCATTCTAGAAAAAACAAGATGGACACATTTGAACCCTATGCACAATAAAAATTGTCAGAAAAATACAGCAGCTCTTAGGAGATTCTGATCATTACCATGTTTTACACAGATATTGCTGCCAGTTACTCTTTCTGTGTGAAAGGTTTTAAACTTTAATTCCATTTCTTGTTGGTAATATGTCTTTAAGGCTTAAATCCAGACTCAATTTTTCACCAGTATAATTATGTGTCAAGTGATGTGAAATCTATATGTGGGCATCACAACTGCCATTACTAACCTCAGCATGAGGCTCGTCACAGGTAATTAGTAACATTCTACGATTATATGTTCCAGGGAGCACAGGAGGTATTCCAGGAGTTTCCGTTTGAGTATATAGAACCAGAACATCTACCTAATGTTGCTAGACATGGCTGTAAGTATTCAGGAGAATCTTCATCATGTCTAGACCAGGGAAAATTATTTGTGGGGAGAAAATTATTACCAGGGTGCTGTTTTATTTATCATATTTACTTCAAGGGAAAAATTATTTGCGGGGATAAAATCATTACCAGGGTGCTATTTTATTTATCATATTTACTTCAAGGGAAAAATTATTTGCGGGGATAAAATCATTACCAGGGTGCTATTTTATTTATCATATTTACTTCAAGGGAAAAATTATTTGTGGGGATAAAATCATTACTAGGAGTCTATAATAGGGAGGATGTGAATTTCAAAGGGAAGATTATCATAATTCAGTAGAATGAAGAAATTATCACAAGGATTAAGTTACCGTTATATCAAAAGAAAACTCCGAATATTCATCCTAGGAGGAATTTATCATAGGTTTCATTTCATCAATCCATTCTAAAGGACTTTGAAATGAAGAGAGATTTTAGGATAGAATTTGTTATAAAAGAAATTTGAACACATTCAGGTCTATTTCATAAAGGATTAAGTTGTTGTGATCCTGTTTTTTTGTAACATGTCAGTTTATTTAAGGTTTTTCAGTTAAATGTTGCATGTGGATATTTGTTTTGACTTTGTATATAATCCAATGTCGAATGAAACAGAGGGTGACATTCCATAATTCATTGATCTTTCACTTTTATTGTCAAGTGACTGTTATTAGTTTCCATACTTGACATGATGTTACAGGTTTCCAGTTATAAACCAATCAGAGTCAATCTTTGGATGATTTTTGTTGCTTCCATCAAAATGTATACATATATATATATACATTGCTAAATACTTGTAGCTACCAACAAGCTATATGCTTGTGTTGTCAGTCGAGAATCCCATTTCGTCCCTAAAGATGGTGGAAAGTTTGATGCTGAGGAGTTTGAACAGGATCCATCTAAATATTTGTCAGTATTTAGCCACAAGGTTAGTGTGAATCTAAAAGACCAAAAGGTTGTAATAGTGGACGTAAAACCTGTTAATACATAAAACGTGAGGCTGATCTGTATGGTTATAGGGGGAGCTGTGAAATATTTTTGAGATGTCTGAATACATGAGGATTATTTGTTATAAAGATAAATTTAGATTATTTACCAGACCAGAAACAATACAAGATTGATTGCATTTGTGTGTTTATTAATATTTATGATTCAATGAGACAACTATAGAAATATCAGCCAATCAGAAAGTGAGTTATAAATAGCTTACATCACTTTGTTCTCAATCTTCCAGATAGCACCCTATGCCTCTGTGATAGTTCATGGTATATACTGGGACCCTAATGCTCCAAGGATCCTCACCATTCCTGATGCTAAGACACTCCTCCGTCATGAAGAATCACCATGGTTACCATCTACCCCTGGCTGTCCACAGCTACCACATCGACTGCTGGCCATCTGTGATATATCGGCTGACCCTGGCGGTTCTATAGAGTTCATGCAGGAGTGTACAACAATAGACTCTCCCTTCTGTTTGTACAATGCTGATCGCAACATCAACAGGGAAAGGTTTGTGAAACTGTGACTATTAGTTCCAAACATTGGACATGATTTACACTAAGTACAACACCTAAAACTCTATCCCTATGATCTGAAGTTCCCAGACTTTTCTACTCATTCAGAGCTTCAAGCTTCATCTTTTATCAAATCTGTATGTCAAGTTTTACACACTAACTTTTAACTTGAAAGATATTAATTTTTTATTCATATCTCTCAATGTGCCAATGATCTTATAGTATGGTGAAGGATGTGTCCTTGCTTTAATATCCATGTGAGTGATACAGGCCCTCTTGGCCACTTGAGGCAGAGTGATGATTCAGACTTGTGTTGTAGCTTTGCTGGAGATGGAGTGTTAATGTGCTCGATTGACAACATGCCAGCCCAGATACCTAAAGAAGCCACAGACTTCTTTGGAAGCTTACTACTGCCCTACATTGAAGAAATGGTAAGTAACATCAGAACTAAATGACCGCTCTGATTATACAATTTTAACTTAAGCTATAAACTAAGTGAAAAAACAATAAACTTTGTATCTAGGGATTTCAGGGCTCCAAATTGACATGTTAGTTTGTCGCATGTCAGAATAGTGTGTCCTTGTCCCTTCCGCTACTGGCATGAATTAAGTTTTGCTGTTTTCTCTGCTGCCATGGAAACTTATGGTCAGAATTTGAAAATTCATGATTAGAAAGGTTTGTTAGGCTACAACTTATGAAATATTCAAAATATTTCTAAGTATTAACAAACCACATGTCAAGCCTTAATGAATGTTGAATAAATCTGTTCATAGACAACACAAAACTGTAATAAATAAAAAAAACATCAATCATGAAAGACAAAGATCAATGTCAAAATGTCAACTCTTACTATAAGGCTGATTGATAAATAAATCATCCCGCCTTTTAATACCAGGCTGATTTATAAATAAATCATCCCGCCTTTTAATACAAGGCTGATTAATAAATAAATCATCCCGCCTTTTAATATAAGGCTGATTAATAAATAAATCATCCCGCCTTTTAATGTAAGGCTGATTAATAAATAAATCATCCCGCCTTTTAATATAAGGCTGATTAATAAATAAATCATCCCGCCTTTTAATATAAGGCTGATTAATAAATAAATCATCCCGCCTTTTAATGTAAGGCTGATTAATAAATAAATCATCCAGACTTTTAACAAAGGGCTGATGAATAAATAAATCTTCCCGACTTTTAATATAAGGCTGATTAATAAATAAATCATCCCGACTTTTAAACCAGAAAAAAGTGGATATTGATTTTTTTTTGACTTCAACAAAATGTATATTTTTTTTTTCTTTTTGTTTTTTTTTTTTACAAAAATGCAGTGTTCCTATTACTTTCACAATAATTTGAATCAAATTTGATGATAATACCTCAAAAGACAAAACAAAATATGTAGTTTGTTTTCCACTTTAATTTCAGATAATTTCTGATGCTGTTAAACCGATGGAAGCCTATCAAGCCTCCCCAATCGTCAAAAACGTAAGTAACTTACCATACAATTTGACAAGCTGCTATTTGATAATAGTTGTAAGGTTGTACTTATAAAAGCAGTTTTTCAGGTTAACATTGAGTAGAATAGCTCATGCTCAATTTCAGTCATGAAGGAACTCTATTCACAATTGATGAAGAGCATCTTTGGCTCCAAAATGGGGAAGACTAATGGTTAATTGTTTAATCCAAATTTGCTTTAATGCTGTCTTCTCACATGGCACGAAATAAAACATTAACAACAATGTTGTTCCCTTGGTACTAAAAGGTAGAATTAAAAGTAATAAAAAAATTAGAACAGTTTGCTATGTTAAAATACATGGCTATATTAGTGAGGAATTAAATCCATCATGCTCTTCAGGCCCTTGTTGATTTTTTAGCGTTCCTGGAAATTGTACAGCCAATAACAATTATTTTAACCTGGAATAGATAAGCCATTTCAATATTTTTCTATTTGTTGATATTCCTGGATGTGCTTCGTAGAAAAAAAAGAAATACAAACTTGATATTTAATGGGTCTCTACTTAAAATCTCCAAACTGTGAAAATGTAAATGAATTTCTGTATTTTGATTTTACTTGTAGGCTGTGATTGCATCAAATGGAAAACTTACAGAACCCTTTGAGTATATTACTGAGCTCCGTAAAAAGTCGGAGTAAGTATTTAATATTGGATTAATTAGAAGCTATCCTGAACACAAATAATCATTTTGTGGTCATCTTCTGGTTAGGTTTCATCTTACACATGCCTCATGTCACAGCTGGTAAACTTATGGAGCAGTGTTTACCTGTATGACTTAACAGGTGAAAAACCTAACATCATATTACAGGTTTATTTCACCTCAGACAGATTTTGCCATTTTGTATCAAATCCAGGATATCTGATTTTAGCTATGTCATATTTTTGCCGTTAAAGAAGTGGAACAGAAAAATGTATAATGTATCTTTTTAGTTCAAATTTGCCACAACAATATTGGCAATGTAACTTTATTGTTGTAAGTAGATCCTGTAAGAAAATATATATCAGTTTGGTAAATCATGACGGTACAAGTAAACTCCTCCCCACCTGTTTCAGGTCCTCAAAGAAAGCTAAGAAGCTTGTTCCAGGACAGAAGAGAGTGCTGGTTCTAGGCGCAGGCTATGTGTCTGCACCGGCAGTAGAATATCTCACCAAGGACAGCAACGTTCATGTGACTGTTGGTAGGTAATGTGTGGAGAGACACAAGACAGTAATGTAACTCTAGGTATGTAATGTACAGAGAGACACATGTAACTGTAGGTATGTAATGTACAGAGAGACATATGTAACTATAGGTTTGTAATGTACAGAGAGACACGTGTAACTGTAGGTATGTAATGTACAGAGAGACACATGTAACTGTAGGTATGTAATGTACACAGAGAGAGAGTGTGCCTCTGTTTAATCTACTATTGTTATATACAAAGAAACAACAATTGCCCCGTATGATTGTCTTATTCTGAAATTGATATAGGCAGACATTAAGCATTGTCTGTATAGGTCCCACAACTTTACCTTTCATGAGTATTTTACTAACTGTATATCTTCCCATTCCAAATTACCATCACTGATAATGTTTTGTAGCTTCCCAGTACAAGGGGAATTACCATCACTGATAATGTTTTGTAGCTTCCCAGTACAAGGGGAATTACCATCACTGATAATGTTTTGTAGCTTCCCAGTACAAGGGGAATTACCATCACTGATAATGTTTTGTAGCTTCCCAATACAAGGGGAATTACCATCACTGATAATGTTTTGTAGCTTCCCAGTACAAGGGGAATTACCATCACTGATAATGTTTTGTATCTTCCCAGTACAAGGGGAATTACCATCACTGATAATGTTTTGTAGCTTCCCAGTACAAGGGGAATTACCATCACTGATAATGTTTTGTAGCTTCCCAATACAAGCGGGACTTGGATGAACTTGAGAGTATGTGTACTAACGCTGATCTCATCCTGATGGATGTGATGAGGCACACGGACGAGCTAACAAAGATGGTGGCTGACAGTGATGTTGTGGTTAGGTAAGTGATGGACACCTGTCTGACTGGTGGTAACATTATCAGTTACTGTGGTAGAGGATGAAGAAAAAAAAAGAAAAATACTGATTCTTTTCATTGGTATTGTGTCAGTGTGTCTGATAGATGAAACAGTGCTTCCTAGCACATTCTGCTGGGTGATTACTCGGGGTAGACTCGGGTATATAGCAGCCTGTGTACTAATTGTAACCTACTGATGTTGATAAATTACCAGCATCTTGATATAAGCTGCTTTTCATTTTATTGTTAGTTGTTATGGAGATTTATGTACTTCATGCTTATGTTGATTCACAAGAAAATCTGATTTGTTGTAGTCTACTACCATATTCCCTCCATCCAGAGATCGCCAAGCTTTGTATTGAACTGAAGACCAACTTGGTGACAGCCAGTTATGTATCTCCAGCAATGGCAGCACTTCACGATGCGTAAATACTCTTATCTGTTTTTCATGAATTCAACACAATTCATAAGCTTTAGTTTCTATTTCCATATCTTATCACAAGTATCAAGACAGGTAATTCATTCTGGGTTATATACTGGGTCAATCTGTGTGACAAAACAGGTATGAAATTCTAAATGAGTATAAAACTATTTCTACCTAACTATTCAGTATATACGATTGATATTTCCAATACATCAAATACATTATAGTGTTATATACAGTTATGTATTCTGTTCATAGGGCTGTGAATGCTGGCATCACAATCATGAATGAGGTCGGTGTTGATCCCGGTATTGATCACATGCTGGCTATGGAATGTTTTGATGAAGTTAAGCATGCTGGTGGAAAGGTTTGTTGTCCTTACATTCAGATATCTTTTTGTTGGCAGTATAATTTCTGAACCATGTTTAAAACTGATCAAGATATGATCAAAATGCTTTTTAACATTGTCCTTCGTATGTGGTTCGTATGTCTGTCCATAAACAATTCTTGTTATCCTTTTTTTCTTGAGAAGTTGGTTTCCAATGGTCTCTAGTTGTGCCCATTTGATTTTAGAACTTATCAGAAAAAAGGATGGCTGACAAGAGGCCATCTTGGATTTCAACATTGAAAGTTTTTTATCAAGATTTCTTTAGTAAGTACTGGATGGATATCACAAATTTCATATATAGGTTCAACTTGCTACTTAGTTTAGCCTCTTTGAATTTGTTGCTGATTAGAAAAACAAAATGGCTGAGAGGTGACCATCTTGGATTTTGTATGTTGAAACCTTGTATCATTAAGAGCAAAACAGAGGAGAGAAAAGGAAGGAAGGAAAAAGATCCAACTTTTGAAAAACAAATAAAGATCAAACAATGGTGGGTGCTAAGAACCCTGTGGACACTCTTGTTCACATCAGCACACTGGTTATCAACATACACCTGACCTACACATCTGATATAGGTAGCTTACCTAAGGTCTGATCAGAAAACAACAGTCAATTAAAAAAGCTTGGTTTATTTGTGCATAATATGTAAAACACTAATTCAGTCAAATTGATGTCTTTTTCAGATAAAGTCTTTTGTCTCCTGGTGTGGAGGGTTACCTGCCCCTGAAAACTCCAATTCTCCACTACGCTACAAGTTTAGGTGAGTTATCATTGGTGCTATGATCAGTAGCCTAGCATTACCATGGCTTCACAACTTGGATTATTCACATTGGACGACTGTGACCTGTAGTTAACCTTGGGTTGCTCTGGTAATGGTTTCCTCCCAAATAAGATTAAGTGATCCCAGATGTATAGTTTCTCCACAAGTTTTAGGTCTGATTATGTATGGTCAAGTTTTATCAATTTCGTCCCTATGTAATACATAATGAGTTATCTGCTCATGGGACAGGCATTCATCATTACCTCACTTGTTTGAGAGTAACTTCATAAATTGTGTGAAAATGATGTAATATTCACACACAAAGACATAACAATCATTACCTGCTCACAAGGGCAGATAAATCTGAATCACAGAAATATGGAATACAGAGTTTAGTTGACTTGTATAGTAGGCATAACAATCATAACCTGCTCACAAGGGCAGATAAATCTGCATCACAGAAATATAGAATACAGAGTTAAGTTGACTTGTATAGTAGGCATCAATGAATAACTAGGCTTGTATATCGATCAATATTGAATTTCTGTTACATTTGGTGTCTGAAGCCAAAATGAAATGGAAAGGTAAGTTTGAGCTTACGGTGATCTCTATTATGTCAACAGGACATGAAGAAGTCATGTGATATTTAATCAGTTCTTGTGGTATTCAGATAAAAGACAAAAAACATTTTTCACCATTTTTGAAAATAAAATTTGTTTGGCATAAAATTTTTCTGTATAATTGATAATCATCATCATTTCTCATGTCCTACATGTAATGACATAATGATATCACAAGTAATGGAACACTGTCAGTGATTTGCAGTCAACTGATAAACTGGTATCAATTTTCCAAAAGACATTATCATATAATTAATAAAATCTAACATCTGTAGCTTGGCATACTTGCAATGAAGAGTATGTTACAAGTCGCTTGAGCGTTCTAAGGTCAAAGTTTCTGTTCAGGTCAAATGCAAAATTCAGCCATCTTTTTCTAAGCCTAATATCTTCATTATACTCTCAATATATTGGAATCAGGTTGTCCATTGTTCGTACGTCGTCCGTGCATCTAGATGCAATGATGTACCTGCTACTCCAAAACATTTTTTTTTGTTTTTTGTTTTTTTAATTTTAATTTTTTATTTCAGTATTTTTATATTTTTTATCATTATTTTTTTTTTCATTTTTTTTTTATTATCATTTCTTTTTTTGATCACTCCTCCTAAACAACTGAATGGATATCAACCATACTTGCTGACTATAATCCTTATACATTGTGGATGTGTGTAATCTATATAAGGTTGAGTTACCTCCCCTTTTCAGAAAGTTATGTCCCTATTGAGACTGTTGGCAGAGGCACCAGCAGGGGTTATGAGTAAGCCCGTGGGCAATAGTTCTAGTTGTTTCAAATATACAAGTAAAATTTAACACATATACATAATCACCACTTCGACGGTGTTATGTACCAAGTCACTCAGGTCAAGGTTACTGTGTGAGGTCAGATTTGAAATCTTGACAAATAGTGACTTGTCTTAGCATCTTCATATTTGAAGATGCTTGTGAAAGGTACCTCGTTTATCCCGCTTATAGCCCAATAGTGTATGATAACCGGTAATGTCATAAGCAAAATCTGACAAAAACAAAAAACCTTATCTTGGCACTTTTTTAAATGGTGTTCAGTAATTATGACAAAACAAAAAATACCGCATTATCGAAAACCACAAAATTGACAACAATATCCTTTAGTACAAGCAATCAAAAACAGAAACATCCATATAGTTTTAATGAACAACTTAGTGTCAAAAATGAGCTTAGAACAGCTAGATGTTTGTATCCAGGGTTCATTAATATATAGAAATGTATTAATGTTTTCAAAAAAATTGACATATGTTAAGAATATACTGCATTCTGCTACTATTAATAAACAGCTGAGTTATAAAAATCAACAACAGAGTTAATGCTTTCTTAGCACATGTACTAACTATTTACATAAAGGTATATTATTAATTCTATGTACCTATTTAAATTTTTACAGGATGTAAACAGCCTACCACAGTTATCCTTCACAAAACTAAATTAGGAAACTGTAGCTGTAAATGATTATGCTTAAATTAACTACTCAATCAGTTTTATTTCTTTGCTCCAGGGTAAATAAACACATTTATTGTACAACAATTCTTAAAGTTGATAATTTTGTCTGGTGCTTGTGTCAGAAGAGATGAAATTGTTACAGGATCCTGATGAATGATTCCACTCGGTGACTGCTCTATCCTCTCTCTCTGACATTCAAATACTAAGTTTACAGGGGTATATTTCTGGTGAATTGAACAAATTATGTCCTGGTTTGGACGTTTGCGTATATGTCAATCAAAATAAATGAGTGGAAATATTATAAATTACCGAGGATAAAATTTAATCAGAGATTGTATACTAGTACTTCATGATCAATGCATTTGCTTTCTTTATTGAACAATTTTAAAATAGTAGATGCAGATCAACTATTGTTGATACCCTCATAATGTTCTAGTCGTTAAATGTTTTAGTCGTTAAATGTTTTAGTCGTTAAATGTTCTAGTCGTTAAATGTTTTAGTCGTTAAATGTTCTAGTCGTTAAATGTTCTAGTCGTTAAATGTTTTAGTCGTTTGTGAAGAACATTGGACTGATTCTTTCTCATATTTCATTGGGAAAGTTTGTGGGATGAACCAATGAAAACCTTGGTAAAAGTTGGAAATTGAATTAGTATACATGTCTTTACATGGCATTTGATGACAAGATGTTATAATAAGATTTTTCTCCACAGCTGGTCTCCTGGTGGTGTACTGTTGAATTGTCTCAGTGGAGCAAAGTACCTGGAGGACAACAAGGCAAGTACCATCTACACCCAGTAGAGATCCATGTTCCAGAGGGATAGGTGTTTACACTAACCATTGTGTACATGTATATGAGAACTATTTACTGTATTGTAAAATCTAATTTCACAGACTACTTTGGGAAATAACTAAAAAGATTCAAATTAATGATTATACTGCTTTATAATCATACTTAATATAATTATTCAAATTTTCTGATTTTGGTTTTATATGACTTTGCAGATTGTTGAAATCCCCAGTGGTGGAAACTTGCTGGAAAAAACACAGGACTTAAACTTCATGCCAGGATTTAATATTGAAGGATTCCCCAACAGAGATTCCACAGTGTACAAACAAGCCTATGGTATAGACTCGGCCAAGACTGTCCTTAGGGGGACTGTTAGGTACAAGGTAAGTTTTAGCTGTTTGGTCAAATCTATGGTATAGACTCCGCCAACACCAACCTTAGGGGGACTATTAGGTATCAGGTAAGTTTTGGCTGTTTGGTCAAGTCTATGGTATAGACTCCGCCAACACCAACCTTATGGGGACTATTAGGTATCAGGTAAGTTTTGGCTGTTTGGTCAAGTCTGTGGTATAGATTCAGCCAAGACCAACTTAAGGGGGAATATTAGGTATAAGGTAAGTTTCGGCTGTTGGGTCAAGTCTATGGTATAGACTCCGCGAAGACCAACCTTAGGGGGACTATTAGGTATAAGGTAAGTTTCGGCTGTTGGGTCAAGCCTATGGTATAGACTCTGCGAAGACCAACCTTAGGGGGACTATTAGGTATAAGGTAAGTTTTGGCTGTTTGGTCAAGTCTATGGTATAGACTCCGCCAACAACAGCCTTAGGGGGACTATTAGGTATAAGGTAAGTTTTGGCTGTTTGGTCAAGTCTATGGTATAGACTCCGCCAAGACCAACCTTAGGGGGACTATTAGGTATAAGGTAAGTTTTGGCTGTTTGGTCAAGTCTATGGTATAGACTCCGCCTTAGGGGGACTATTAGGTATAAGGTAAGTTTTGGCTGTTTGGTCAAGTCTATGGTATAGACTCCGCCAAGACCAACCTTAGGGGGACTATTAGGTATTAGGTAAGTTTTGGCTGTTTGGTCAAGTCTATGGTATAGATTTGGCCATAACCAATCTTAGGGGTACTGTTAGGTATAAGGTAAGTTTTGATTGTATGGATAGGCATATGGTATTGACTCGGCTAAGGCTAGCTGTTGGAGGACTGTTTGGTATATGATGGTAAGTTAATTTTTTTCTTTGTTGAGGTCTGCCAGACTTCCTTAACTACTTGTTATTACATTTCCCTATTCCTTGAAAATTGATAATGGATATTTCTAAAACTTTCAACTTTGAGTATTGATTTGAAAAATAAAATGGCCAATGAGCAACCAACTTTGGTTTTAACATTTAAGGTTTTTTTTATTTCTATTTCTTCAGAAATTCTGGATAGGTTCTGTAATTAAATGTATTGGTTCACTTCAAAATATCAGATGGGCAGCCATTGTGGATTTTGATTGCCAAAGTTTATTTATCTCTGTACATTATGGACAGGATTTGCTTTAATCAATTTCTTGTATTCAAATGTCAAATTGTTTTTATTTAATTTTGAGATAGATTGGGGGAAATAGCAAGCCATATTTGATAATTATTTTTAATTCTGTTTTCGTTTTTTAAGGGGTTCTGTGACATTGTAAAAGGACTGATGCAGCTTGGACTGCTGAACTCTGATCCAGTGGTGGAACTGCATCCGAATGGGCCGGAGAAAACATGGGTAAGTATGCTAACTCTTGGTAGAGTGATCACAGTGATGTCATTAGTCACTGTCATTTAAGTTTGTCACATCATTATCTGTTATATATACTGTCAATAACCCTAAACAGGCTCTAATGGCCTTCAAGTATGGCAATGAGCTGTAAAAACCAGTGTGTTCACTAACACAGCAGTGAGCAGATCTGAAAACACCTGTGTGTTCACTGACACAGCAGTGAGCAGATCTGTAAAAACCTGTGTGTTCACTAACACAGCAGTGAGCAGATCTGTAAAAACCTGTGTGTTCACTAACACAGCAGTGAGCAGATCTGTAAAAACCTGTGTGTTCACTGACACAGCAGTGAGTAGATCTGTAAAATCCTGTGTGTTCACTGACACAGCAGTGAGCAGTAAAAACCTGTGTGTTCACTGACACAGCAGTGAGCACCTGTGTGTTCAGCAGTGAGCAGATCTGTAAAATCCTGTGTGTTCACTGACACAGCAGTGAGCAGATCTGTAAAATCCTGTGTGTTCACTGACACGACAGTGAGCAGTAAAATCCTGTGTGTTCACTGACACAGCAGTGAGCAGATCTGTAAAAACCTGTGTGTTCACTGACACAGCAGTGAGCAGATCTGTAAAAACCTGTGTGTTCACTAACACAGCAGTGAGCAGATCTGTAAAAACCTGTGTGTTCACTAACACAGCAGTGAGCAGATCTGTAAAATCCTGTGTGTTCACTGACACAGCAGTGTAAAATCCTGTGTGTTCACTGACACAGCAGTGAGCAGTAAAAACCTGTGTGTTCACTGACACAGCAGTGAGCAGATCTGTAAAAACCTGTGTGTTCACTAACACAGCAGTGAGCAGATCTGTAAAAACCTGTGTGTTCACTGACACAGCAGTGAGTGGAGCTGTAAAATCCTGTGTGTTCACTGACACAGCAGTGAGCAGATCTGTAAAAACCTGTGTGTTCACTGACACAGCAGTGAGCAGATCTGTAAAATCCTGTGTGTTCACTGACACAGCAGTGAGCAGATCTGTAAAAACCTGTGTGTTCACTGACACAGCAGTGAGCAGATCTGTAAAATCCTGTGTGTTCACTGACACAGCAGTGAGCAGATCTGTAAAAACCTGTGTGTTCACTGACACAGCAGTGAGCAGATCTGAGCAGATCTGTAAAATCCTGTGTGTTCACTGACACAGCAGTGAGTAGATCTGTAAAAACCTGTGTGTTCACTGACACAGCAGTGAGCAGATCTGTAAAAACCTGTGTGTTCACTGACACAGCAGTGAGCAGATCTGTAAAAACCTGTGTGTTCACTGACACGACAGTAAGCAGTAAAATCCTGTGTGTTCACTGACACAGCAGTGAGCAGATCTGTAAAAACCTGTGTGTTTACTGACACGACAGTGAGCAGATCTGTAAAAACCTGTGTGTTTACTGACACAGCAGTGAGCAGATCTGTAAAAACCTGTGTGTTCACTGACACAGCAGTGAGCAGATCTGTAAAAACCTGTGTGTTCACTAACACAGCAGTGAGCAGATCTGTAAAATCCTGTGTGTTCACTGACACAGCAGTGAGCAGTAAAATCCTGTGTGTTCACTGACACGACAGTAAGCAGTAAAATCCTGTGTGTTCACTGACACAGCAGTGAGCAGATCTGTAAAAACCTGTGTGTTTACTGACACAGCAGTGAGCAGATCTGTAAAAACCTGTGTGTTCACTGACACAGCAGTGAGCAGATCTGTAAAATCCTGTGTGTTCACTGACACAGCAGTGAGCAGTAAAATCCTGTGTGTTCACTGACACAACAGTACTGACACAGCAGTGAGCAGATCTGTAAAATCCTGTGTGTTCACTGACACAGCAGTGAGCAGATCTGTAAAAACCTGTGTGTTTACTGACACGACAGTGAGCAGATCTGTAAAAACCTGTGTGTTCACTGACACAGCAGTGAGTGGAGCTGTAAAATCCTGTGTGTTCAGTGACACAGCAGTGAGCAGATCTGTAAAAACCTGTGTGTTTACTGACACAGCAGTGAGCACTGTAAAATCCTGTGTGTGACACAGCAGATCTGTAAAAACCTGTGTGTTTACTGACACAGCAGTGAGCAGATCTGAAAACACCTGTGTGTTCACTGACACAGCAGTGAGCAGTAAAATCCTGTGTGTTCACTGACACGACAGTAAGCAGATCTGTAAAATCCTGTGTGTTCAGTGACACAGCAGTGAGCAGATCTGTAAAAACCTGTGTGTTTACTGACTCGACAGTGAGCAGATCTGTATAAACCTGTGTGTTTACTGACACAGCAGTGAGTAAATCTGTAAAAACCTGTGTGTTCAGTGACACAGCAGTGAGCAGATCTGTAAAAACCTGTGTGTTCAGTGACACAGCAGTGAGTGGAGCTGTAAAATCCTGTGTGTTCAGTGACACAGCAGTGAGTGGAGCTGTAAATTCCTGTGTGTTCACTGACACACTATACTGTAGACTGACTAAGAACTTATTTATTTTAATGCGTTTACCACCACTGTTACGACTTTTTGGTCTTTCAGCGGATGAGTGACTAACAACAGGGCATCTCAGATCTCAGTATTTACTGGACATGTTGTCCAATCAGACTGCATACTGCAAAGAAGCCCCACAACATATCTTATCTCATGTGGCATCTGTTTAAAGACAACAAATTTGATACAGGTCTCATCAACTTGGCCTTATCATAAAATAGTCATCTTTTGTTCCTGTACATCAATATTGTACAATAATTTTAGAACTTAAGTCAGCTTACTTGATAAAATATATGAATACATGAAAAGTCACCATTGCTATTTGTTAGAAATTTGATCTGTACTATTCAATCACCTGAGAAGAGAGAGCCTAAGTGATGTACTTTTTTGCCTTATACAGAAAGCCTATATGTGCGATGTGTTTGACAAGTCCCATGACTTGTTTGGAGACACCCTGAAGGACTTGGTGTATCAGCAGGTCGGACGATCAGAAGAGAGATTACAGGCTATAGAACAGTGAGTATAAGAACAGAGCAGTAATGTTTAGTCAATCTCAAACTGGAACAGGTGTCATTGAAGTTATTAGACTTGTTTTGATATTTCAAGCCAGGACGTCTGTAGTGTTCAGTCAGTCTCAAACTGGAACAGGTGTCATTGAAGTTATTAGACTTGTTTTGATATTTCAAGCCAGGACGTCTGTAGTGTTCAGTCAGTCTCAAACTGGAACAGGCGAGAACTTCCTTGGCTATAGCTTTGTGTCCATGTTTCAGGGTGGGACATCCTTGGTTAGCTATAGGTTTGTGTCCATGTTTCAGGGTGGGACTTCCTTGGTTAGCTATAGCTTTGTGTCCATGTTTCAGGGTGGGACATCCTTGGTTAGCTATCAGTTTGTGTCCATGTTTCAGGGTGGGACATCCTTGGTTAGCTATAGCTTTGTGTCCATGTTTCAGGGTGGGACATCCTTGGTTAGCTATAGCTTTGTGTCCATGTTTCAGGGTGGGACTTCCTTGGTTAGCTATCAGTTTGTGTCCATGTTTCAGGGTGGGACTTCCTTGGTTAGCTATCAGTTTGTGTCCATGTTTCAGGGTGGGACATCCTTGGTTAGCTATAAGTTTGTGTCCATGTTTCAGGGTGGGACATCCTTGGTTAGCTATCAGTTTGTGTCCATGTTTCAGGGTGGGACATCCTTGGTTAGCTATAAGTTTGTGTCCATGTTTCAGGGTGGGACATCCTTGGTTAGCTATAGCTTTGTGTCCATGTTTCAGGGTGGGACATCCTTGGTTAGCTATAGGTTTGTGTCCATGTTTCAGGGTGGGACATCCTTGGTTAGCTATAGGTTTGTGTCCATGTTTCAGGGTGGGACATCCTTGGTTAGCTATAGCTTTGTGTCCATGTTTCAGGGTGGGACATCCTTGGTTAGCTATAGGTTTGTGTCCATGTTTCAGGGTGGGACATCCTTGGTTAGCTATAGGTTTGTGTCCATGTTTCAGGGTGGGACATCCTTGGTTAGCTATAGGTTTGTGTCCATGTTTCAGGGTGGGACATCCTTGGTTAGCTATAGGTTTGTGTCCATGTTTCAGGGTGGGACATCCTTGGTTAGCTATAGGTTTGTGTCCATGTTTCAGGGTGGGACATCCTTGGTTAGCTATCAGTTTGTGTCCATGTTTCAGGGTGGGACATCCTTGGTTAGCTATAGGTTTGTGTCCATGTTTCAGGGTGGGACATCCTTGGTTAGCTATAGGTTTGTGTCCATGTTTCAGGGTGGGACATCCTTGGTTAGCTATAGGTTTGTGTCCATGTTTCAGGGTGGGACATCCTTGGTTAGCTATAGGTTTGTGTCCATGTTTCAGGGTGGGACATCCTTGGTTAGCTATAGGTTTGTGTCCATGTTTCAGGGTGGGACATCCTTGGTTAGCTATAGGTTTGTGTCCATGTTTCAGGGTGGGACTTCCTTGGTTAGTTATAGTTTGTGTCCATGTTTCAGGGTGGGACATCCTTGGTTAGCTATAGGTTTGTGTCCATGTTTCAGGGTGGGACTTCCTTGGTTAGCTATAGGTTTGTGTCCATGTTTCAGGGTGGGACATCCTTGGTTAGCTATAGGTTTGTGTCCATGTTTCAGGGTGGGACATCCTTGGTTAGCTATAGGTTTGTGTCCATGTTTCAGGGTGGGACATCCTTGGTTAGCTATAGGTTTGTGTCCATGTTTCAGGGTGGGACATCCTTGGTTAGCTATAGGTTTGTGTCCATGTTTCAGGGTGGGACATCCTTGGTTAGCTATAGCTTTGTGTCCATGTTTCAGGGTGGGACATCCTTGGTTAGCTATAGCTTTGTGTCCATGTTTCAGGGTGGGACATCTTTGGTTAGCTATAGCTTTGTGTCCATGTTTCAGGGTGGGACATCCTTGGTTAGCTATAGCTTTGTGTCCATGTTTCAGGGTGGGACATCCTTGGTTAGCTATAGCTTTGTGTCCATGTTTCAGGGTGGGACATCCTTGGTTAGCTATAGCTTTGTGTCCATGTTTCAGGGTGGGACATCCTTGGTTAGCTATAGGTTTGTGTCCATGTTTCAGGGTGGGACATCCTTGGTTAGCTATAGCTTTGTGTCCATGTTTCAGGGTGGGACTTCCTTGGTTAGCTATAGGTTTGTGTCCATGTTTCAGGGTGGGACATCCTTGGTTAGCTATAGGTTTGTGTCCATGTTTCAGGGTGGGACATCCTTGGTTAGCTATAGGTTTGTGTCCATGTTTCAGGGTGGGACTTCCTTGGTTAGCTATAGGTTTGTGTCCATGTTTCAGGGTGGGACATCCTTGGTTAGCTATAGCTTTGTGTCCATGTTTCAGGGTGGGACATCCTTGGTTAGCTATAGCTTTGTGTCCATGTTTCAGGGTGGGACATCCTTGGTTAGCTATAGCTTTGTGTCCATGTTTCAGGGTGGGACATCCTTGGTTAGCTATAGGTTTGTGTCCATGTTTCAGGGTGGGACATCCTTGGTTAGCTATAAGTTTGTGTCCATGTTTCAGGGTGGGACATCCTTGGTTAGCTATAGGTTTGTGTCCATGTTTCAGGGTGGGACATCCTTGGTTAGCTATAGGTTTGTGTCCATGTTTCAGGGTGGGACATCCTTGGTTAGCTATAGGTTTGTGTCCATGTTTCAGGGTGGGACATCCTTGGTTAGCTATAGGTTTGTGTCCATGTTTCAGGGTGGGACATCCTTGGTTAGCTATCAGTTTGTGTCCATGTTTCAGGGTGGGACATCCTTGGTTAGCTATAGGTTTGTGTCCATGTTTCAGGGTGGGACATCCTTGGTTAGCTATCAGTTTGTGTCCATGTTTCAGGGTGGGACATCCTTGGTTAGCTATAGGTTTGTGTCCATGTTTCAGGGTGGGACATCCTTGGTTAGCTATCAGTTTGTGTCCATGTTTCAGGGTGGGACATCCTTGGTTAGCTATAGGTTTGTGTCCATGTTTCAGGGTGGGACATCCTTGGTTAGCTATCAGTTTGTGTCCATGTTTCAGGATGGGACATCCTTGGTTAGCTATCAGTTTGTGTCCATGTTTCAGGGTGGGACATCCTTGGTTAGCTATAGGTTTGTGTCCATGTTTCAGGGTGGGACATCCTTGGTTAGCTATAGGTTTGTGTCCATGTTTCAGGGTGGGACATCCTTGGTTAGCTATAGGTTTGTGTCCATGTTTCAGGGTGGGACATCCTTGGTTAGCTATAGGTTTGTGTCCATGTTTCAGGGTGGGACATCCTTGGTTAGCTATAGTTTGTGTCCATGTTTCAGGGTGGGACATCCTTGGTTAGCTATCAGGTTTGTGTCCATGTTTCAGGGTGGGACATCCTTGGTTAGCTATAGGTTTGTGTCCATGTTTCAGGGTGGGACATCCTTGGTTAGCTATAGGTTTGTGTCCATGTTTCAGGGTGGGACATCCTTGGTTAGCTATAGGTTTGTGTCCATGTTTCAGGGTGGGACATCCTTGGTTAGCTATAAGTTTGTGTCCATGTTTCAGGGTGGGACATCCTTGGTTAGCTATAGCTTTGTGTCCATGTTTCAGGGTGGGACATCCTTGGTTAGCTATAGGTTTGTGTCCATGTTTCAGGGTGGGACATCCTTGGTTAGCTATAGGTTTGTGTCCATGTTTCAGGGTGGGACATCTTTGGTTAGCTATAAGTTTGTGTCCATGTTTCAGGGTGGGACATCCTTGGTTAGCTATAGGTTTGTGTCCATGTTTCAGGGTGGGACATCCTTGGTTAGCTATAGGTTTGTGTCCATGTTTCAGGGTGGGATTTCCTTGGTTATAATTTTGTGTCCATGTTTCAGGCTAGGACTTCTTGAAGAGGAGTTAATTGATATGAAGGGAACTCCTGTGGCTACACTTTCTAACTACCTGTCAAAGAAGCTTAGCTACGGTAAGTATCAAAGAAGCTTAGCTATGGTAAGTATCAAAGAAGCTTAGCTATGGTAAGTATCAAAGAAGCTTAGCTACGGTAAGTATCAAAGAAGTTTAGCTACAGTAAGTATCAAAGAAGTTTAGCTACAGTAAGTATCAAAGAAGCTTAGCTATGGTAAGTATCAAAGAAGCTTAGCTATGGTAAGTATCAAAGAAGCTTAGCTACAGTAAGTATCAAAGAAGCTTAGCTACGGTAAGTATCAAAGAAGCTTAGCTACGGTAAGTATTGACCTCTGCTATACAGTAAGACATGGATCAGCCAAAGTCAATGGGACCAAATGAATTATTTTACCTATCTGATGGTTTGCCGTGTTTATATGAAGAAAGAATTAGTGCATCGAAGATTGACCCGATTTTCATTTACCACATACGTGTCTCATAGCATGCCATGACAACAAAGAATAAAGAAACAAATAAAAAACATTATATATTTTCATATACTAATGATATCTTTAATTTAGATAAACATTTATAAGTACAAATATATAGAACAAAAATGTAGTGTGAAACACTCGTCATTGAATTGCAGCACACATGTGGTTACGTACTCATACACATAACTCAAAATTGATACCTAAAGTCATACAAATATTGTTCTCACATTTATATCCTTAAGAGTAATAAGTCCTGTCAACAATAACAACAACAGACTACAGTGTATTTTGTCCTAAGTTTGATGTAGATTGAGGGTTAACAGACTACAGTGTATTTTGTCCTAAGTTTGATGTAGATTGAGGGTTAACAGACTACAGTGTATTTTGTCCTAAGTTTGATGTAGATTTAGGGTTAACAGACTACAGTGTATTTTGTTCTAAGTTTGATGTAGATTGAGGGTTAACAGACTACAGTGTATTTTGTCCTAAGTTTGATGTAGATTGAGGGTTAACAGACTACAGTGTATTTTGTCCTAAGTTTGATGTAGATTGAGGGTTAACAGACTACAGTGTATTTTGTCCTAAGTTTGATGTAGATTGAGGGTTAACAGACTACAGTGTATTTTGTCCTAAGTTTGATGTAGATTGAGGGTTAACAGACTACAGTGTATTTTGTCCTAAGTTTGATGTAGGGTTAACAACTACAGTGTATTTTGTCCTAAGTTTGATGTAGATTTAGGGTTAACAGACTACAGTGTATTTTGTTCTAAGTTTGATGTAGATTGAGGGTTAACAGACTACAGTGTATTTTGTTCTAAGTTTGATGTAGATTGAGGGTTAACAGACTACAGTGTATTTTGTCCTAAGTTTGATGTAGATTGAGGGTTAACAGACTACAGTGTATTTTGCTCTAAGTTTGATGTAAAAACACAGGGATTAATGTTCGATCAAAAATTACAATAGAGCTCATTAACAAAAGTAAATATTGATGAAGCCAGGAAATTCTTAACTGAGACCTGAATGTTCGACACAAAAAAAGTAAATATTGATAGAATTTAGAAGGAATGGACCACAAAATATATTTGACACAAACACTGTATTCGACTCAGTGGTGTTCGAATCATCCATGTTTAATTTAATAAGTTAAAGAAGAAAAAATCAGGTATCATTATAGCCATGACATAACAAAGCCACTAGAGAGGAAGTTGTGTTTACCAATCCCAGTACTAAGCCCCTCCCCCTCCCCTATTTTTTTATCAGTCTGCGTAATAATGTTCCTCCATACATAATAAAACAAAAAAGATAACAAGGGTAGGGAAATTTAGGGTGGGGCAGGGGGACTTCACTTAACAATTGCCATGGTAAAGTGAAATGTTACACTATTTTGTTACTAATTAACTTTTTTCACCAATTTTGTGTTGCCATCTAAAGGGGACATGAAGGTATTACTATATTGGTGCCAGCATCAGCACAAAAGATTTTCTTCACAATAACTTGAGTTCACTTTAACAGATCAAGCTCGAACTTAATACAGTTCTCCCTTACCAAAAGTGCTTGCTTGGGAATATTTTTCAGGTCCAAAGGTCAAAGGTCAAAGCCACTGTTACTATAAATAGAAAATTCTTATTTTCACAATAACTTCAGTTTACCTGTTAAAAGAAAATTGGTTTTGTGTGATTGAGTTTTCTTTGGACAATAAGACTGCTTCTTAGCTAAAGGGGCTTGTCTACTGGTCATACTCTAAATTTATATTCTCCTTATCTACTGATAACCCTATAGATTTGTGTACTGTATGACAGGTCCAGGAGAACGGGATCTCATCCTTATGTACCATATCTACTGATAACCCTATAGATTTGTGTACTGTATGACAGGTCCAGGGATCTCATCCTTATATACCATATCCACTAATAACCCTATAGATTTGTTTACTATATGACAGGTCCAGGAGAAAGGGATCTCATCCTTATGTACCATATCTACTGATAACCCTATAGATTTGTTTACTGTATGACAGGTCCAGGGATCTCATCCTTATGTACCATATCTACTGATAACCCTATAGATTTGTTTACTATATGACAGGTCCAGGAGAACGGGATCTCATCCTTATGTACCATATCTACTGATAACACTATAGATTTGTTTACTATATGACAGGTCCAGGAGACGAGATCTCATCCTTATATACCATATCTACTGATAACCCTATAGATTTGTGTACTGTATGACAGGTCCAGGGATCTCATCCTTATGTACCATATCTACTGATAACCCTATAGATTTGTTTACTATATGACAGGTCCAGGGATCTCATCCTTATGTACCATATCTACTAATAACCCTATAGATTTGTTTACTGTATGACAGGTCCAGGGATCTCATCCTTATATACCATATCCACTAATAACCCTATAGATTTGTTTACTATATGACAAGTCCAGGAGAAAGGGATCTCATCCTTATGTACCATATCTACTGATAACCCTATAGATTTGTTTACTATATGACAGGTCCAGGAGAAAGGGATCTCATCCTTATGTACCATATCTGCTGATAACCCTATAGATTTGTTTACTGTATGACAGGTCCAGGGATCTCATCCTTAAGTACCATATCTGTTGATAACCCTATAGATTTGTTTACTGTATGACAGGTCCAGGGATCTCATCCTTATGTACCATATCTACTGATAACCCTATAGATTTGTGTACTGTATGACAGGTCCAGGAGAAAGGGGTCTCATCCTTATGTACCATGTCTACTGATAACCCTATAGATTTGTTTACTGTATGACAGGTCCAGGGATCTCATCCTTATGTACAATATCTACTGATAACCCTATAGATTTGTTTACTGTATGACAGGTCCAGGGATCTCATCCTTATGTACCATATCTACTGATAACCCTATAGATTTGTGTACTGTATGACAGGTCCAGGGATCTCATCCTTATGTACCATATCTACTGATAACCCTATAGATTTGTGTACTGTATGACAGGTCCAGGAGAAAGGGATCTCATCCTTATGTACCATATCTACTGATAACCCTATAGATTTGTTTACTATATGACAGGTCCAGGAGAACGGGATCTCATCCTTATGTACCATATCTACTGATAGCCCTATAGATTTGTTTACTGTATGACAGGTCCAGGGATCTCATCCTTATGTACCATGTCTACTGATAACCCTATAGATTTGTGTACTGTATGACAGGTCCAGGAGAAAGGGATCTCATCCTTATGTACCATATCTACTGATAACCCTATAGATTTGTTTACTATATGACAGGTCCAGGAGAAAGGGATCTCATCCTTATGTACCATATCTACTGATAACCCTATAGATTTGTGTACTGTATGACAGGTCCAGGAGAAAGGGATCTCATCCTTATGTACCATATCTACTGATAACCCTATAGATTTGTGTACTGTATGACAGGTCCAGGGGTCTCATCCTTATGTACCATATCTACTGATAACCCTATAGATTTGTTTACTATATGACAGGTCCAGGGGTCTCATCCTTATGTACCATATCTACTGATAACCCTATAGATTTGTGTACTGTATGACAGGTCCAGGGGTCTCATCCTTATGTACCATATCTACTGATAACCCTATAGATTTGTTTACTATATGACAGGTCCAGGGGTCTCATCCTTATGTACCATATCTACTGATAACCCTATAGATTTGTGTACTGTATGACAGGTCCAGGGATCTCATCCTTATGTACCATATCTACTGATAACCCTATAGATTTGTTTACTATATGACAGGTCCAGGGGTCTCATCCTTATGTACCATATCTACTGATAACCCTATAGATTTGTGTACTGTATGACAGGTCCAGGGATCTCATCCTTATGTACCATATCTACTGATAACCCTATAGATTTGTTTACTATATGACAGGTCCAGGGGTCTCATCCTTATGTACCATATCTACTGATAACCCTATAGATTTGTGTACTGTATGACAGGTCCAGGGATCTCATCCTTATATACCATATCTACTGATAACCCTATAGATTTGTTTACTATATGACAGGTCCAGGGATCTCATCCTTATTTACCATATCTACTAATAACCCTATAGATTTGTTTACTATATGACAGGTCCAGGGGTCTCATCCTTATGTACCATATCTACTGATAACCCTATAGATTTGTTTACTATATGACAGGTCCAGGAGAAAGGGATCTCATCCTTACGTACCATATCTACTAATAACCCTATAGATTTGTTTACTATATGACAGGTCCAGGAGAAAGGGATCTCATCCTTATGTACCATATCTACTGACAACCCTATAGATTTGTGTACTGTATGACAGGTCCAGGGATCTCATCCTTATGTACCATATCTACTGACAACCCTATAGATTTGTTTACTGTATGACAGGTCCAGGAGAAAGGGATCTCATCCTTATGTACCATATCTACTGATAACCCTATAGATTTGTGTACTGTATGACAGGTCCAGGGATCTCATCCTTATGTACCATATCTACTGATAACCCTATAGATTTGTTTACTATATGACAGGTCCAGGAGAAAGGGATCTCATCCTTATGTACCATATCTACTGATAACCCTATAGATTTGTTTACTATATGACAGGTCCAGGAGAAAGGGATCTCATCCTTATGTACCATATCTACTGATAACCCTATAGATTTGTTTACTATATGACAGGTCCAGGAGAAAGGGATCTCATCCTTATGTACCATATCCACTAATAACCCTATAGATTTGTTTACTATATGACAGGTCCAGGAGAAAGGGATCTCATCCTTATGTACCATATCTACTGATAACCCTATAGATTTGTTTACTATATGACAGGTCCAGGAGAAAGGGATCTCATCCTTATGTACCATATCTACTGATAACCCTATAGATTTGTGTACTGTATGACAGGTCCAGGGATCTCATCCTTATGTACCATATCTACTGATAACCCTATAGATTTGTGTACTGTATGACAGGTCCAGTGATCTCATCCTTATGTACCATATCTACTGATAACCCTATAGATTTGTTTACTATATGACAGGTCCAGGAGAAAGGGATCTCATCCTTATGCACCATGACATTGGTGTTCAGTATGCAGATGGGTCAGAGGAACAAAGACATGTTGGACTGGTAGTGTACGGAGATGCAGATGGACACTCGGCTATGTCTCGGACTGTTGGACTTCCAACTGGTATTGCCACCAAAATGATTCTAGAAGGTGGGTGTTACCGGCGTTTTCCGATGCCAGATCTTAAAAGTTTCTTTTACCCAGTCTGGTTGTACATTTATTTTTGGATGTTGACCTTTTTTTTTGATATTTTAAGCACATTTGATTTTTTAATGAATATCTACTGGCAATAATATTTGATCTTTTGTGTTTATCTCTACAGGAAATGACCTTTAACCTTCTGTTTGATATGAAACCTGGTACATATATAAATGACTTATAGATGTATATAACATATGATGACCTTTAACCATCTATTCTAGGTGAGATACAGAAGAAAGGGGTCCAGATTCCTCTCTCACACAACATGTACAGTCCAATCCTGTCTCGTCTCAAACATGAAGGTATCGCTGCTACAGAGGATATTATCCTCAAACGAAACTAGAATGTAGTGAGTTGAACCACAAAAAATCAAGAACTGTGTTTCAGTACAACCATTACAAGAGGAAAACATCACTGAAGTAGCCCCAGGGATATATGCACAGCCCTTTAATTTTAAGTCTGTTAGAATGAGGTCAATTCGCAGATTGAAAAGAAAAACAATTTTTCATTTAAAGTGTAACAGAATCAAACTAAAAATGAGCAGACTATTTTGAATCCTTGTTAATTTTTTTTTCTTACTGAAATTAACTTCACACCATTTAGTAACATAATTATACTCTCAACTTGTATACTATTAATGGTGTGTATTTCAGAGAATCTCAGAGGTAAAATTCTCCCTTTCTCTCCCTTTTTTTGAGGAAAGGAAAAATGGTGATGGTTAATGGTATTTTAGAGAATCTCAAAGGTAAAAATCTCCCTTTCTCTCCCTTTTTTTGAGGAAAGGAAAAAAAAAATGTTGATATCTAATTTTGTATCGGATACCTGTTTTGTACTCCACAAAAGTGATTTATCTGGTTTGGCAGTTATCAAAAGTATCTTGTTACAAGTGTACAAGGTTTGCATAGTATTGGAAAAAATGAAGAACCTGTTTGGAACAGCTTTCTTTGTTTACGATTTTTTACATAAACTCTATACATATGTTAAGAGGAAAGATTGCTTTCGTTTATGTTTGTTACATGGAAAGCTTGTTTGTTGAAGGTGCTATCATGTTAAGAAAGATATAAATGTCTCTGTAATATATAACATGTCTTAGTAGTAGCTGTGATAAACGACTTTTGATTTCTTCCTGACTAAAAATTCACTCGATTAGTGGATTTAAGGAATGCACATGCTTTTATCAATAATGTACAATAGAAAGTAACGGTAGAAACTTTTGTTTTCGTGGCTATATACAAATCCCAAAAATATAAATATGCAACAAGTAAGACCTCAGATAAAGAATGATACTCGAGTTTAAACCATGCAAGAAAGTACCCACAAACATTTTATATTACACAGTACCCCATATTGTTAGATTACTCAGGCAGTGTTACAAGTTTTTACTTTTGAGTGTTTTCACATTTTTCGGTCCTTGTCTTTTGTATACATGGAAATGTAGGTTTGTAAAATTTGAGAGAGAAAAAGATTTTAATGTTATAAATACATGTATGTTTGTTTTTATCAAGAAACCTAATTCACAAATATAAATAATTATCATATAGCTGGTTATTTTTGCAGGGAGAATATTTTTGCTTTTTCACTGCATTAATGTGATTGCGAAAATTTAATCTGTGAAATAATGAGACACATGTATTAAATGTGATTTTCATCCAGGTCGTAAAATTCTAATTTGTTAAAATTACTTCGTTTTAAAAGAAAATTGCAAAACGTTTGACCTGTGAACATGTTATACAGTGTAAATATGGTTTGTTAATAGATCCTGGAGCAGGTGTAGGTGATACATTATTGTTACTGAGATCAACACCCTATTTACGTTAACGGAAAAAGGAAAAAATATTACCAAAAGTATGTTACCAGTGATAAATAATATTGATATATTTTTTTTCATCCGTCTATTACCTGATTTGTGACAAGTATTAGAAGGTTTAGCATTTTAACGAAAAGTCAACAAAGACATTTAGTGCCCAAGATTTATCTATCTTATTATTTAAATTGGTATTCTGATACCATTGCAGAATTTTTTTATGCATTCGTTTCATTGAAAATGATGGGAGGCTTGACGTAAGGAATAGATCAACTGTAATCGGTTCTTACTTTTTATTTAAGAAAAAAAACCCTGAAAAATTATTAACTTTCCACTTTACGGAAAAGAAACATTGTTTAGAAAACTATTTATTGACAAAAGCTGTTTTGTTGATGTTTTTTGCTTTGTTAGTAATTCTGTGTGTTGTTGTTTATGATAGTGATTACATTGATACGAAGAATACTAGAACTTTATCAAGATATGGCAGGATAAACAATGAATTGTGTATATTCTATTTAGATCTCATAAGAACGGTGTGCTTTGTTTTATACATCATTTAAATACTGTAGTTATGTTTTACCTAATCTTTCCATCACTTCTCCGAGGCCACTTTTTGTTAAAATACTCTCTTTTACATCTATTTCTTCCAACCTTACTGCATTCCACTAAATTTTTTTTTGGTTTAAAATCAGTTTCCAATTCATAACTTATTTTCGTAATTACCCGTTATCATCTCTTGCTATATGACTTTGTGTGGCATATGTCATATATGTTACCATCTGATACAACATGAGTTCCTCTTTATATCATCAGACAAACAGACCCCTTTTCACACAGTCTAACACAAAATATATCTCTAATATGCTATCTGAGAGGATGTAAATTTCTCTTAAGATTAAATTATGAGTTATACTCTGACATAAAGTGGACTCCTCTTTATATCATTTAACATTACATAAACTCCTGTTTATATCATGTTTTATTGGCACTTTTACACATATATTACATGTCAACCAATTAAACTGAGGATTTAACTGATTTTCTTGTGATCACTATTTACATTTTGACATCATCTCAAGCTACCTGACAATTTCTTGTTTTCACATCTAAGATATAATAAAATTTGTTGTTTACAAAACAAAAAATGTAGCATGCAAAATCTTAGTTCTTGGATAATTTACTTGGTATCATCACTTGGCATTCATGATCACTATTCATTACAGTAAATGGAATGTAGGTTAATTTTACCTAAAATTCTCCGGTCTGACAGTTGATCATAATCAGTTTTATGAAACAAATTCAGGATGAAGTGTCAGTTGTTTACAGATCTTGAAATGCATTTTAATTAAAAACACTGATCACCAAAAATTACAATTTGTTTGGAAATCTATCAATTATGAAAGGTTGAGGAGATATAGAAAAAATAAACTTCATCCTTATAGAGACCTTTACTGTAGATGCAAGAAATTTGATTGATATCTTTTTTGTGTGCGTGTGTGTGAACATTGTTTGTAAAATGAACACAGTGGTTGAAGAACATATTTTTTTTCATGCAGTCAATAAATGAACAAAAGCACATAATGATATTTTAAGTTGGCTTGATATTTTATCCTAGGATTGCCTTGTTGTTCAGTGAATATACTCCTATTTTTCCATATGATACATGTATAATATAGCTTAGTGACATCACTTTCTGTAATAAAATAACTCCACACATTTACAGATGGCATGGTGATTGAACAATGAAAACTATGAACAGAGTGGACATGACTTTACATAAAATTTATTGATTTTCGACAATATTTGCTTGAAAAATAAATCTAGTAATAAAAAAAATCTTAAATTTGTTTGCATTTGACCTGTGATTTATGAAACTAGTAACAATTTTTTTTCATTTTAGCTTGCCATAGGCTCAATAAATGGAAAATTCTTCGACTTAGTTTCACAAACACATATATCAAATGAAAACTGGTGTGATATCGTGTGTGATTTTCCCTATTAAGTAATGATATAAAAAACACTGTATTTAATTTCATAAACACATATTTAATCGGAGTAATTGAGCTTGTTTTTTGTTTGTACATCATAATTATTGATTTTCAAAGTTTAAGCAGTTTTGAAACGTTTGTTGCCCCCTTTTTTTACCTTCAATGTCGACAAGGAAATTATAAAATGAATGATATTTTGATGTGATAAAACCGTTAGATTGGTGACGGTAAGGCTTTAGACATAGTTGTACTTTTAAATGAAGTGATTTTGTAACATTTCTCTCCATGAAGATAGGTTGTATCACAAAGGTGGTATCTTCACTTGCTATGAACTTGTTCACTCAGTATGAACTAGTAACGTATAGCTGATCATTTCCATGACATATTTAATCTGTTTTGCAGTACATTAACGTAATTATACAAATTTAATCAATATAATAATGAGACAAATATGTATTAGAATGTCCTTTCACATCCAGGTCACGATGGTTAAAAACTTGTTAAGTTAACAATGTCATTAAACCATGGTGTTAGCAAGTCGATAGGTCATTAAATTTCTATTTGTTAGAATCTAATTCAATTGTTTTCAATAAAAAAATCACAAAAAATTTTGACCCATGAGAATGATCAGCTATAGGTATATGAAAATTGTCTTTGATGCTTTTCAGTATTGTAAATGAATAATACTCAATTATGATGTAGAAAGTTTAGTCAGAAATAGCCGTAACTGAGAAATACGCTCTTGTATTTGGTCTGTGATATTTCAAATGATTTATATTTTTGCAAAAGTTGTTTTTAGGTAACTGATCTTTAATCATATTTAGTAAATAAATATAATGTTATACATGAAACATTTCTGTGATACAAGACTGATGTTTCAGCATAATGGTCGAGAACATATTTAAACCAAGAGATTACATATTCTAGGTCCATCCATTCAAAGATTTACATTTCTTATGGCAATGCAACTGATATTATCATTATTATTACAAGCTAACCGTTAATTATTTGTATATTATAGGTACCTACAATACTACACCATTTACACACTGATCTATAAATATCTTACTACAAACATGAACAATAATGTAAATATCCAACCATATAATAGTATACTCTGGTAATACTGATTTTTATCAAACTCACCTTTAACAGTATTCAATATAAATAAAAAAAAGATTATTAAAGGGAGATAACTATAGACAGCTTGGATTCTAATTTAAACAGCATGTTTCACCTAGTAAACCTTGTACAATGCCCATGTATGGCTAGATTATCTAATTAATCAAGATATACTCAGATCAGTTGTATCATGGTGAGAATCATTAATATAAAATTTATGTACTTCTATAATACTTATTGAATTTCTGACAGTTTTAGAATGATTAATATACAGTTTAGAATGAATTCTTGAGAGAAAAGTTATGATTGAAGTGGGTATGCATTACGTTACTTTCTATAATTAATTGTATAGCTTGGGGGTGGGAGGAGTTGATGATGTCAAGATATCAGTCGTACAAATCAAGCAGTTATCTGTAGAAAGTTTCCATAATATTAGTTTGAAGAATATTTCTGACAGGATTTCAGCGTCACAGAGTGTGTTAAGGTATTGCTCACCATTCCCATTCTGAGTGGAGTGTGTGCGATATGTTAATATATAACCGCATTTGTTTGTTTTGTAGAGATAATATTAAATGGTTGGCAATATTTATGAATGTGTTGTTTTTCCTTTACCCAAAGTCACATTTACTACCACATACACAGTAGTCTTTGTAAAATGTGTTTTAAGAATTTACAGCTGGCAATTTTAGAATGTCATGTACATGTGTACATGCAAGTTATGGAAAATCTCAGGGCCACATGTCTACCCACAGTGTCTACATCATTCAATCTCAAAGACTGTGCTAAAGACACACACCTGAACAGCACTTTCATGCATATAATTTTTTATAGAAACAGTCAAACTGCATAGTAAAGCTATTTTGTCCTAGGACTTTACGTGATGATAAGGGCCTACATTTTGAAGCGTGGGAGGCAACTGAAGAAAATCTTAAGTGGTTGAGAAAAGTCAAAATGTGAAAGAGCTTAAGCTGATACTCAACACAAGGAGACTTAAGAGCTTGTGATGTTTGAGTGTAGGCTTAAACTCCACAACAGTAGACTAAAGAGCTTGTTGTGTTTGAGTGTAAGCTTAAACTCCACAACAGTAGACTAAAGAGCTTGTGATGGTTGAGTGTAAGCTTAAACTCCACAACAGTAGACTAAATAGCTTGTTGTGTTTGAGTGTAAGCTTAAACTCCACAACAGTAGACTAAATAGCTTGTGATGTTTGAGTGTAAGCTTAAACTCCACAACAGTAGACTAAATAGCTTGTTGTGTTTGAGTGTAAGCTTAAACTCCACAACAGTAGACTAAATAGCTTGTAATGTTTGAGTGAAAGCTTAAACTCCACAACAGTAGACTAAAGAGCCTGTAATGTTTGAGTGTAAGCTAAACCTCCACTAAAGAAGACTAAAGAGCTTGTGATGTTTGAGTGAAAGCGTAAACTCCACTAAGGTGGACTAAAGAGCTTGTGGTGTTTGTATGTAGGGTAAAACTCCACTGATATAAACTAAAGAGCTTGTGATGATTGAGTGTAAGCTTAACCTCCACTAAAGAAGACTACAGAGCCTGTAATGTTTGAGTGTAAGCTTAAACTCCACAACAGTAGACTAAAGAACTTGTAATGTTTGAGTGTAAGCTTAACCTCCACTAAAGAAGACTACAGAGCCTGTAATGTTTGAGTGTAAGCTTAAACTCCACAACAGTAGACTAAATAGCTTGTTGTGTTCGAGTGTAAGCTTAAACTCCACAACAGTAGACTAAAGAACTTGTAATGTTTGAGTGTAAGCTTAACCTCCACTAAAGAAGACTACAGAGCCTGTAATGTTTGAGTGTAAGCTTAAACTCCACAACAGTAGACTAAATAGCTTGTTGTGTTCGAGTGTAAGCTTAAACTCCACAACAGTAGACTAAAGAACTTGTAATGTTTGAGTGTAAGCTTAAACTTCACAACAGTAGACTAAAGAGCTTGTGATGTTTGAGTGAAAGCTTAAACTCCACAACAGTAGACTAAAGAGCTTGTGGTGTTTGAGTGTAGGCTTAAACTCCACAACAGTAGACTAAAGAGCTTGTAATGTTTTATTGTAAGCTCAAACACCACTAACATAGACTAAAGAGCTTGTTGTGTTTAAATGTAAGTAAAAACTCCACAACAGTAGACTAAAGAGCTTGTGGTGTTTGAGTGTAAGCTAAAACTTCGCTAAGGTAGACTAAAGAGCCTGTGGTGTTTGAGTGTAAGCTTTAACTCCACAACAGTGGACTAAAGAGCTTGTGATGTTGAAGTGTAAGCTAAAACTCCATAACAGTAGACTGAAGAGCTTGTGATATTTGAGTGTAAGCTTAAACTCCACAACAGTAGACTAAAGAGCTTGTGATGTTGGAGTGTAAGCTAAAACTTTACTAAGGTAGACTAAAGAGCTTGTGATGTTTGAATGTAAGCTTAAGCTCCATAACAGTAGACTGAAGAGCTTGTGATGTTTGAGTGCAAGCTTAAACTCCATAACAGTAGACTGAAGAGCTTGTGATGTTTGAGTGTAAGCTTAAACTCCATAACAGTAGACTGAAGAGCTTGTGATGTTTGAGTGTAAGCTAAAACGTCAATGAAGAAGAATAAAGAGCCTGTGGTGTTTCAGTGTAAGCTTAAACTCCATAACAGTAGACTGAAGAGCTTGTGATGTTTGAGTGTAAGCTAAAACTTCAATGAAGAAGAATAAAGAGCATGTGGTGTTTGAGTGTAAGCTTAAACTCCATAACAGTAGACTGAAGAGCTTGTGATGTTTGAGTGTAAGCTTAAACTCCATAACAGTAGACTGAAGAGCTTGTGGTTTTTGAGTGCAAGCTTAAACTCCATAACAGTAGACTGAAGAGCTTGTGATGTTTGAGTGTAAGCTTAAACTCCATAACAGTAGACTGAAGAGCTTGTGATGTTTGAGTGTAAGCTTAAACTCCATAACAGTAGACTGAAGAGCTTGTGGTGTTTGAGTGCAAGCATAAACTCCATAACAGTAGACTGAAGAGCTTGTGATGTTTGAGTGCAAGCTTAAACTCCATAACAGTAGACTGAAGAGCTTGTGATGTTTGAGTGTAAGCTAAAACTCCAATAAAGAAGAATAAAGAGCCTGTGGTGTTTGAGTGTAAGCTTAAACTCCATAACAGTAGACTAAAGAGCTTGTGATATTTGAGTGTAAGCTTAAACTCCATAACAGTAGACTGAAGAGCTTGTGGTGTTTGAGTGCAAGCTTAACCTCCACTAAAGAAGACTACAGAGCCTGTAATGTTTGAGTGCAAGCTTAAACTCCATAACAGTAGACTGAAGAGCTTGTAATGTTTGAGTGTAAGCTTAACCTCCACTAAAGAAGACTACAGAGCCTGTAATGTTTGAGTGTAAGCTTAAACTCCACAACAGTAGACTAAATAGCTTGTTGTGTTCGAGTGTAAGCTTAAACTCCACAACAGTAGACTAAAGAACTTGTAATGTTTGAGTGTAAGCTTAACCTCCACTAAAGAAGACTACAGAGCCTGTAATGTTTGAGTGTAAGCTTAAACTCCACAACAGTAGACTAAATAGCTTGTTGTGTTCGAGTGTAAGCTTAAACTCCACAACAGTAGACTAAAGAACTTGTAATGTTTGAGTGTAAGCTTAAACTTCACAACAGTAGACTAAAGAGCTTGTGATGTTTGAGTGAAAGCTTAAACTCCACAACAGTAGACTAAAGAGCTTGTGGTGTTTGAGTGTAGGCTTAAACTCCACAACAGTAGACTAAAGAGCTTGTAATGTTTTATTGTAAGCTCAAACTCCACTAACATAGACTGAAGAGCTTGTAATGTTTTATTGTAAGCTCAAACACCACTAACATAGACTAAAGAGCTTGTTGTGTTTAAATGTAAGTAAAAACTCCACAACAGTAGACTAAAGAGCTTGTGGTGTTTGAGTGTAAGCTAAAACTTCGCTAAGGTAGACTAAAGAGCCTGTGGTGTTTGAGTGTAAGCTTTAACTCCACAACAGTGGACTAAAGAGCTTGTGATGTTGAAGTGTAAGCTAAAACTCCATAACAGTAGACTGAAGAGCTTGTGATATTTGAGTGTAAGCTTAAACTCCACAACAGTAGACTAAAGAGCTTGTGATGTTGGAGTGTAAGCTAAAACTTTACTAAGGTAGACTAAAGAGCTTGTGATGTTTGAATGTAAGCTTAAGCTCCATAACAGTAGACTGAAGAGCTTGTGATGTTTGAGTGCAAGCTTAAACTCCATAACAGTAGACTGAAGAGCTTGTGATGTTTGAGTGTAAGCTTAAACTCCATAACAGTAGACTGAAGAGCTTGTGATGTTTGAGTGTAAGCTAAAACGTCAATGAAGAAGAATAAAGAGCCTGTGGTGTTTGAGTGTAAGCTTAAACTCCATAACAGTAGACTGAAGAGCTTGTGATGTTTGAGTGTAAGCTAAAACTTCAATGAAGAAGAATAAAGAGCATGTGGTGTTTGAGTGTAAGCTTAAACTCCATAACAGTAGACTGAAGAGCTTGTGATGTTTGAGTGTAAGCTTAAACTCCATAACAGTAGACTGAAGAGCTTGTGGTTTTTGAGTGCAAGCTTAAACTCCATAACAGTAGACTGAAGAGCTTGTGATGTTTGAGTGTAAGCTTAAACTCCATAACAGTAGACTGAAGAGCTTGTGATGTTTGAGTGTAAGCTTAAACTCCATAACAGTAGACTGAAGAGCTTGTGGTGTTTGAGTGCAAGCATAAACTCCATAACAGTAGACTGAAGAGCTTGTGATGTTTGAGTGCAAGCTTAAACTCCATAACAGTAGACTGAAGAGCTTGTGATGTTTGAGTGTAAGCTAAAACTCCAATAAAGAAGAATAAAGAGCCTGTGGTGTTTGAGTGTAAGCTTAAACTCCATAACAGTAGACTAAAGAGCTTGTGATATTTGAGTGTAAGCTTAAACTCCATAACAGTAGACTGAAGAGCTTGTGGTGTTTGAGTGCAAGCTTAACCTCCACTAAAGAAGACTACAGAGCCTGTAATGTTTGAGTGCAAGCTTAAACTCCATAACAGTAGACTGAAGAGCTTGTAATGTTTGAGTGTAAGCTTAACCTCCACTAAAGAAGACTACAGAGCCTGTAATGTTTGAGTGTAAGCTTAAACTCCACAACAGTAGACTAAATAGCTTGTTGTGTTCGAGTGTAAGCTTAAACTCCACAACAGTAGACTAAATAGCTTGTTGTGTTCGAGTGTAAGCTTAAACTCCACAACAGTAGACTAAAGAACTTGTAATGTTTGAGTGTAAGCTTAACCTCCACTAAAGAAGACTACAGAGCCTGTAATGTTTGAGTGTAAGCTTAAACTCCACAACAGTAGACTAAATAGCTTGTTGTGTTCGAGTGTAAGCTTAAACTCCACAACAGTAGACTAAAGAACTTGTAATGTTTGAGTGTAAGCTTAAACTTCACAACAGTAGACTAAAGAGCTTGTGATGTTTGAGTGAAAGCTTAAACTCCACAACAGTAGACTAAAGAGCTTGTGGTGTTTGAGTGTAGGCTTAAACTCCACAACAGTAGACTAAAGAGCTTGTAATGTTTTATTGTAAGCTCAAACTCCACTAACATAGACTGAAGAGCTTGTAATGTTTTATTGTAAGCTCAAACACCACTAACATAGACTAAAGAGCTTGTTGTGTTTAAATGTAAGTAAAAACTCCACAACAGTAGACTAAAGAGCTTGTGGTGTTTGAGTGTAAGCTAAAACTTCGCTAAGGTAGACTAAAGAGCCTGTGGTGTTTGAGTGTAAGCTTTAACTCCACAACAGTGGACTAAAGAGCTTGTGATGTTGAAGTGTAAGCTAAAACTCCATAACAGTAGACTGAAGAGCTTGTGATATTTGAGTGTAAGCTTAAACTCCACAACAGTAGACTAAAGAGCTTGTGATGTTGGAGTGTAAGCTAAAACTTTACTAAGGTAGACTAAAGAGCTTGTGATGTTTGAATGTAAGCTTAAGCTCCATAACAGTAGACTGAAGAGCTTGTGATGTTTGAGTGCAAGCTTAAACTCCATAACAGTAGACTGAAGAGCTTGTGATGTTTGAGTGTAAGCTTAAACTCCATAACAGTAGACTGAAGAGCTTGTGATGTTTGAGTGTAAGCTAAAACGTCAATGAAGAAGAATAAAGAGCCTGTGGTGTTTGAGTGTAAGCTTAAACTCCATAACAGTAGACTGAAGAGCTTGTGATGTTTGAGTGTAAGCTAAAACTTCAATGAAGAAGAATAAAGAGCATGTGGTGTTTGAGTGTAAGCTTAAACTCCATAACAGTAGACTGAAGAGCTTGTGATGTTTGAGTGTAAGCTTAAACTCCATAACAGTAGACTGAAGAGCTTGTGGTTTTTGAGTGCAAGCTTAAACTCCATAACAGTAGACTGAAGAGCTTGTGATGTTTGAGTGTAAGCTTAAACTCCATAACAGTAGACTGAAGAGCTTGTGATGTTTGAGTGTAAGCTTAAACTCCATAACAGTAGACTGAAGAGCTTGTGGTGTTTGAGTGCAAGCATAAACTCCATAACAGTAGACTGAAGAGCTTGTGATGTTTGAGTGTAAGCTAAAACTCCAATAAAGAAGAATAAAGAGCCTGTGGTGTTTGAGTGTAAGCTTAAACTCCATAACAGTAGACTAAAGAGCTTGTGATATTTGAGTGTAAGCTTAAACTCCATAACAGTAGACTGAAGAGCTTGTGGTGTTTGAGTGCAAGCTTAACCTCCACTAAAGAAGACTACAGAGCCTGTAATGTTTGAGTGCAAGCTTAAACTCCATAACAGTAGACTGAAGAGCTTGTAATGTTTGAGTGTAAGCTTAACCTCCACTAAAGAAGACTACAGAGCCTGTAATGTTTGAGTGTAAGCTTAAACTCCACAACAGTAGACTAAATAGCTTGTTGTGTTCGAGTGTAAGCTTAAACTCCACAACAGTAGACTAAATAGCTTGTTGTGTTCGAGTGTAAGCTTAAACTCCACAACAGTAGACTAAAGAACTTGTAATGTTTGAGTGTAAGCTTAACCTCCACTAAAGAAGACTACAGAGCCTGTAATGTTTGAGTGTAAGCTTAAACTCCACAACAGTAGACTAAATAGCTTGTTGTGTTCGAGTGTAAGCTTAAACTCCACAACAGTAGACTAAAGAACTTGTAATGTTTGAGTGTGCTTAAACTTCACAACAGTAGACTAAGCTTGTGATGTTTGAGTGAAAGCTTAAACTCCACAACAGTAGACTAAAGAGCTTGTGGTGTTTGAGTGTAGGCTTAAACTCCACAACAGTAGACTAAAGAGCTTGTAATGTTTTATTGTAAGCTCAAACACCACTAACATAGACTAAAGAGCTTGTTGTGTTTAAATGTAAGTAAAAACTCCACAACAGTAGACTAAAGAGCTTGTGGTGTTTGAGTGTAAGCTAAAACTTCGCTAAGGTAGACTAAAGAGCCTGTGGTGTTTGAGTGTAAGCTTTAACTCCACAACAGTGGACTAAAGAGCTTGTGATGTTGAAGTGTAAGCTAAAACTCCATAACAGTAGACTGAAGAGCTTGTGATATTTGAGTGTAAGCTTAAACTCCACAACAGTAGACTAAAGAGCTTGTGATGTTGGAGTGTAAGCTAAAACTTTACTAAGGTAGACTAAAGAGCTTGTGATGTTTGAATGTAAGCTTAAGCTCCATAACAGTAGACTGAAGAGCTTGTGATGTTTGAGTGCAAGCTTAAACTCCATAACAGTAGACTGAAGAGCTTGTGGTGTTTGAGTGTAGGCTTAAACTCCACAACAGTAGACTAAAGAGCTTGTAATGTTTTATTGTAAGCTCAAACACCACTAACATAGACTAAAGAGCTTGTTGTGTTTAAATGTAAGTAAAAACTCCACAACAGTAGACTAAAGAGCTTGTGGTGTTTGAGTGTAAGCTAAAACTTCGCTAAGGTAGACTAAAGAGCCTGTGGTGTTTGAGTGTAAGCTTTAACTCCACAACAGTGGACTAAAGAGCTTGTGATGTTGAAGTGTAAGCTAAAACTCCATAACAGTAGACTGAAGAGCTTGTGATATTTGAGTGTAAGCTTAAACTCCACAACAGTAGACTAAAGAGCTTGTGATGTTGGAGTGTAAGCTAAAACTTTACTAAGGTAGACTAAAGAGCTTGTGATGTTTGAATGTAAGCTTAAGCTCCATAACAGTAGACTGAAGAGCTTGTGATGTTTGAGTGCAAGCTTAAACTCCATAACAGTAGACTGAAGAGCTTGTGATGTTTGAGTGTAAGCTTAAACTCCATAACAGTAGACTGAAGAGCTTGTGATGTTTGAGTGTAAGCTAAAACGTCAATGAAGAAGAATAAAGAGCCTGTGGTGTTTGAGTGTAAGCTTAAACTCCATAACAGTAGACTGAAGAGCTTGTGATGTTTGAGTGTAAGCTAAAACTTCAATGAAGAAGAATAAAGAGCATGTGGTGTTTGAGTGTAAGCTTAAACTCCATAACAGTAGACTGAAGAGCTTGTGATGTTTGAGTGTAAGCTTAAACTCCATAACAGTAGACTGAAGAGCTTGTGGTTTTTGAGTGCAAGCTTAAACTCCATAACAGTAGACTGAAGAGCTTGTGATGTTTGAGTGTAAGCTTAAACTCCATAACAGTAGACTGAAGAGCTTGTGATGTTTGAGTGTAAGCTTAAACTCCATAACAGTAGACTGAAGAGCTTGTGGTGTTTGAGTGCAAGCATAAACTCCATAACAGTAGACTGAAGAGCTTGTGATGTTTGAGTGCAAGCTTAAACTCCATAACAGTAGACTGAAGAGCTTGTGATGTTTGAGTGTAAGCTAAAACTCCAATAAAGAAGAATAAAGAGCCTGTGGTGTTTGAGTGTAAGCTTAAACTCCATAACAGTAGACTAAAGAGCTTGTGATATTTGAGTGTAAGCTTAAACTCCATAACAGTAGACTGAAGAGCTTGTGGTGTTTGAGTGCAAGCTTAAACTCCATAACAGTAGACTGAAGAGCTTGTGATGTTTGAGTGCAAGCTTAAACTCCATAACAGTAGACTGAAGAGCTTGTGATGTTTGAGTGCAAGCTTAAACTCCATAACAGTAGACTGAAGAGCTTGTGATGTTTGAGTGTAAGCTAAAACTCCAATAAAGAAGAATAAAGAGCCTGTGGTGTTTGAGTGTAAGCTTAAACTCTAACAGGATCTAAATGGTTAAGAAAAGTATTTCAGTTACAACACATATTTCCTTCTTCAGATCATGAACATTCATTGATGTTATTGTGAGAATCATTTAAAACAAGAAATAATGTTTAAGTACAATATGGAACTGATTTTATTAATTCATAAGACATAAAGAAATTAATATCTGGCAACTGAGCAATAAATAAATATCCGGAGGAAATAAAGATTTAAACAAGCACGATCAAAGCTGATTTAATTTGACATTTAAGTTCTTCTATATGCATACAACCCCACAATGAGATCACATGATATGTAAGTACAGAATTGTGGAATGTTAACTATCAAATGATATCTCAAAGACACAGCATTTCTTCTGTATCAAGTTACAATCATATTGTCATAATGATACCTAGTAACAACCAGGTTATCTTCAAATTATAGAATTTCCATCTTGTCACTATCAGATAATAGAACTTAATCTAGTCACCATCAGATAATAAAACTTATATCTAGTCACCACCAGGTTACAGAACTTATATCTAGTCACCATCAGATAAGAACTTATATCTAGTCACCACCAGGTTACAGAACTTATATCTAGTCACCATCAGATAATAGAACTTATATCTAGTCACCATCAGATAATAGAACTTATATCTAGTCACCACCAGGTTACAGAACTTATATCTAGTCACCATCAGATAATAGAACTTATATCTATTCACCACCAGGTTACAGAACTTATATCTAATCACTGTCAGGTTATAGAACTTCATATAGTCACCATCAGATAATAGAACTTACTGTGGATTCATTTATTTTCGTTGGGTTCAATTTTCGTTGTTTCTACAAATTAGACAGTTTCGTGGACTCATAAATTCGTGGATTTTTTATTCTGTGGGAAAAAAATAAAAACGTTAGAATTTTCTCTTTTTGCTTCCAGTCGAAATTTTTTCTGTTTGTATTAAGGCTATGTTCACAGGAATTAACACTGATGACAAGAATAAAAGAACGTTTTTTTCCAAGATGGCGTCCTGTGTCTCGCATTAATATCAAACCACAAATCAGTATATATCCAGGCGTGTAATCAATCGGTAATTATCAGAAACAATTGTTTTCAGTGGATAAACATTGTGTGCTGATCAGTCGGTGTACCGCAGTCATATGAAAACACCACGCGTATCGATTGGACCATGTGTGTAAACAGGTGTGTAAACAAGATCTGCAGAAACAATTATGAAGTAAAAACACAACTCACTGACGATAGTATAAAGAAATCACAGTGATGAACATATCATTATGTATCTTATCCATCATGTCGTTAACACAGTGGTTAAAATCCGGGAAATTGAATCTGCGAAATCCTGACGTTCCTGGGCTACCCGACTCCCGACTAATTACGGGGCTTCTGTCATTACCGGTAGACGTTTCCGGTGTCGGCAAAGATTACTTGGTCAAATTCCAAAATTACTTTAGTAAGTAGTTCATATTTCGTTGTGTTTTTAAATTTGCTCATCCACGAAAACAACGAAAATTGGACCCCCACGAAAGAAAATGAATCCACAGTATATCTAGTCACCATCAGATAATAGAACTTATATCTAGTCACCATCAGATAATAGAACTTATATCTAGTCACCATCAGATAATAGAACTTATATCTAGTCACCATCAGATAATAGCACTTATATCTAGTCACCACCAGGTTACAGAACTTATATCTAATCACTGTCAGGTTATAGAACTTCATATAGTCACCATCAGATAATAGAACTTATATCTAGTCACCATAAAAACATAGAACTTATATTTAGTCACCACCAGGTTACAGAACTTATATCTAATCACTGTCTGGTTATAGAACTTCATATAGTCACCATCGGATAATAGAAAATAGAACTTATATCTAGTCATCATCATATTACCATCAGATTACAGAACCTATATATCTAGTCCCCATCAGTTATTAAAATTCTAATTGTCATCATCAGGTCTAACGCTTTTTCGTCTAACTATGATTTCCTTTTTTAGAATAATCAGTGAATGTTTTAATCTAAGCCACAATAATTTTACATCAACATATAGAGAAAAAACTGACACAAAAACCACAACATGGATTACAAAAGGACATTCTTCCACAGGGGTTACTCAGTGTGCACGGTTGCAGTTATTGCATTTTGGCAGTAGAAGGAAGCCATATTTTCAAATATATACGAAAGTCATCTAATCATCCCAGTCATCATCATCATCTACATCATCTTCATCATCGTCGTCTTCATCATCTAGAAAAAAAGATGTATAATAAATTATAGGCTTTGCTACTATGTTTGGTTTTGTTTTTATTTTGATAAATTTGTAGATGGCCAAAAAAACAATCTATACAAGATCAAATTTTCAAACAGAAAATGACAATTTTCATATCATTCAGGAATATCAATAGAAACTGTAAGGTCCTATCAGCAAAAACCTTGGCCCTGTATGTATTTCTGTAGGTATGAAAGACGTACCTGAGCTTTGTATGTGTTTCTGTCCATATGACAGACTTACCTAGGCCCTGTATGTGTTTCTGTAGGTATGACAGACTTACCTGAGCCCTGTATGTATTTCTGTATGTATGACAGACTTACCTGAGCCTTGTATGTGTCTCTGCCTATTAGCCAGCGCGCGGGCTAGTGCACCAACAATTCCTCCGGAAGCCTCCTGTTGAGGTGCTGGCTTCTCCTCGGTTTGATCAACCTGTCAAAATAAATTCACAAATTACAGTCGTATTTCATGTTATTTATTATATACATAATTAAACCTACCCATACATTCCCGATCTCTAGTAGTGCAACACAAGTGAATACAAATACAGTATGTTTGTGTAAGTTAACATCATCTAGGGTGAATCCTCCATCATTACTAAACATACAGATAAATTCATCAATTCTTATTCAATCTCAGAAATAATCTCATCAGATTTTTATGAAATCTCAAACACTCTGATTGTATCACTACCTCATTCCACTTCACACATTCATTTTGATTTAAAAGATGTGTTGAAGATGTAAACCTCCATACTCACATGTTTGAGGTTTTTGCCAGAGCGGATAGCACTGAGAAGGTCGCCTCTAGCATCAGAGGGTGCTGCTGGTCGATCATCAGCGGTGACATTTTTCAGGCTTTTACCTTTCTGTATCTGGTCCAATAGAGCACTGCGAGCTGAATCACCACCACCAGAGGGCGGTGTAGGAATTCCTGGTCCTCCCATGACTGGAGGTGGGGGAGGAGCAGCTGGAGCTGTAGGGGGTGGTGGAGGAGGAGGTGGTGGAGGTGGACCGCCCGCTGAAGGAGGAGGGGGTGGGGGGAATCCTCCACTTGATGGAGGGGGAGGAGGTGGTCCCATTGAGGGCTTCATAGGCGGAGGAGGAGGTTGAAAGCCTGCATTTGGTGCACCTTGAGGAGGAGGTGGAGGTGGAGCTCCAAGATTCCTAGGACCTCTATTAGGTGGGGGTGGGGGAGGGGCCTGGTGGGCTCTAGAAGGAGGGGGTCCCGATGGACCAGGACGAGTAGGTGGGGGTGGGGCCCTGCTTAAAGTCCTCTGGGGTGGGACAGCAGGTGGTGCTGCTGTAAAATGAAGAAACAAGCACTTAGGAATGTTCAATGACTTTTCAATGCATTGAAATATAAAGCAGGAGAGTAACACGTGAGAATTTCTACCCTATATGGATCTGTGTTATAATCCTGTAAGACATATATCAACCAGGAATTAAGATTCAGCGTTTAATCTATCAGATAAAGAGCTTCTCATGACATTGGTTTGGGTATACGAGCAAACTATAAAATCATATTTTATCCTTGGATCTTGCAAAGAAGTTGTTCAAAGATACAAAATGATGACAGGAAAGTTGATACCTGAAGGAGCTTTTGGTGGTGGCCTGGATGCCATCTCAGCCTTGACTGCATCTATACCGCCATGCTGCTCCACGAAGTCATAGATGAAATCTACAGTCTCCTTATCCACTACCTCATTTTCATCTATACCTACACTCTCAAACAGTCCCTTCATGTCTGGGTCAAGGTTGTTCATCTGTTGAATAACAATAAGAGTTAGGATCAAGAAATTCATCTCCGTTAATAAAACTGGATTAAAATGTAAAGATTATATTTGAAATGCAGTTACCTATCATTCTAGTGACTTAACATTCTTCACACTGTACTCACTATCACTTTTTAGACTGGAAGTGTAAAATTGCCAAGAAGTGTCTAGAAGGGGTCTAGTAGGCCTGTATCTTGGGGTAAGGATCTTAAAAGCTTGTTCTATTATGACTTCATTCCCCCATCCCTTAAAACATCTCTCCCCTCTCCAGTACCCTTCCCTCTCCAGTACCTCCAGTACCCTCCCCTCTGCAGTACCCCCCCCTCTCCAGTACCCTCCCCTCTCCAGTACCCTCCCCACTCCAGTACCCTCCCCTCTCCAGTACCCTCCCCTCTCCAGTACCCTCCCCTCTCCAGTACCCTCCCCTCTCCATTACCCTCCCCTCTCTAGTACCCGCACCTATCCAGTACCCTCCCCTCCCTCTCCAGTAACCTCCCCACTCCAGTACCCTCCCCTCTCCAGTACCCTCCCCTCTCCAGTAACCTCCCCACTCCAGTACCCTCCCCTCTCCAGTACCCTCCCCTCTCCAGTAACTTCCCCACTCCAGTACCCTCCCCTCTCCAGTACCCTCCCCACTCCAGTAACCTCCCCACTCCAGTACCCTTCCCACTCCAGTACCCTCCCCTCTCCAGTACCCTCCCCACTCCAGTACCCTCCCCACTCCAGTACCCTCCCCTCTCCAGTACCCTCCCCTCTCCAGTACCCTCCCCTCTCCAGTACCCTCCCCTCTCCAGTACCCTCCCCACTCCAGTACCCTCCCCTCTCCAGTACCCTCCCCACTCTATCCAACCATCTTCCATCAGTGTTTGAATTGTACATGTGATCATTTTGGTTCCAGATCTTATGAAAGGAATCAGCCCTCAGTCTGAAGACTTTTCTCCCATCATCCTTTCATCCACACCACCACTTACATCAAATCCTTTGGTAGGGTCCCAGCCAAACTCAAACCCAGACCACAACTTACATCAAATCATTTGGCAGGGTCCCAGCCAACCTCAAACCCAGACCACAACTTACATCAAATCCTTTGGTAGGGTCCCAACCAACCTCAATCCCAGACCACAACTTACATCAAATCATTTGGTAGGGTCCCAACCAACATCAAACCCAGACCACAACTTACATTAAATCCTTTGGAAATGTCCCAACCAACCTCAAACCCAGACCACAACTTACATCAAATCCTTTTGTAGGGTCCCAACCAACCTCAAACCCAAACCACAACTTACATCAAATCCTTTGGTAAGGTCCCAACCAACCTCAAACCCAGACCACAACTTACATCAAATCCTTTGGTAGGGTCCCAACCAACATGACTGACGTGCCTGAAGTCTGTAGGTGTACTTATATCTTCCTTGGTCAGTTTCTTTTTCTTGTCCTTGTCCTTGTTTTTACCCTTGCTGGCCTTGGAAATGGTGTCCTTCCCACTTGTCTTGTTCAAGTTAATATCCACAGATGATAATGCAGGGCCAGAATCTAAATATTTTAAATAGTTTAAATAAAATCCACAATTTAACAGAGAGTCATTGTAGTCAATTGCTACTCTAGAATTACCACAGAAATAATGACCCGACATAAATACAAAATATTTGTCTGGCTATCCTCCAGCTGCATTTTGCAACTGTCTTACCTCCCCTTCTCTAGAATCTAACATATTTTTTTTATAAATTCGATATTCTGGGGTCAAGGGGCCAGATTGTGATTTTACAGTTGAACTTAAACATCAACAAAAATACAGCGTTTTGTAAAAACTAGAAAATGTCTGTAAGACATGAATGCCCCCCCCCCATGTGAAATAGTAGTGAAAGGTCCGAATAAAGTTGTTAGGTGGTATATACTGATTTGGGACATGACGCAACGGGACAGGACAGGATGGGATGGACGGATATGGGCAACGCTATATGCCCCTGGCCATAAATGGCGGGGGCATAAAAATTACAAAAACAAGTACAGAAATCGAGATACTCACTATTGATAATAGGAGGGGAGGAAACTCCGCCCTGATTCTGATTGTTATTGTTTTGCACTGTTCCCTGCTGGTTCTTCTTCTTATCTGTGATAAAGAAAATGAATGACACCAAAATCACAAACACACAAAATTTCCACACACGTTTATTTTATCATCTTTTGAAAATTGAAAAGCATTCAGTGATTAATCTACACAAATTGTACTACAGGACATTAACATTGTCCTATTTTAATTGTGTAATCTACATGTATGTCACATATGTTTACCCTATCACTTGTTTAAATTCTGATTATAAGGTCTGTCCATTTCTCGAAATAGACCAAAAATTCTCCTTCTTCCACCATGGGTAGTATTCCCCAAGCTCTACATCAACCCATGGCATTTGATACTGAGTGACATTCAAAGTTCTAAGGAATATCTTGTATAAGAGTTGCTTCCCTTGTCACACTACAGAGCTATAGCTCGCCAATCAAGGTGATGGTGCAGTGAACATAGATAGTGATAGTAGGAAATGGATAGGAGAAGTAACAATGCATGAAATTGTAATGTGTATTAAAGAACATAACTGACATATTGTAATAACTAAAACATTAGTTTAAGACAGGCTCATGTTTTACAAAAGAAACGTTATCAATATACTTGAAAGTGTGTACAACCATTCTAATTTTATTGACAGTGACCTTGACACTGATGACTTGACATTGACCTTGACATTAATTTTGATTCTGACCTCAACACTGACCTTGCCATTGACCTATATTTTGACCTCATGACCTTGTTAATTCCCTGATAAACATTCAAATTTTAGCTAATACTAGATATTTCTGAGGTATCAAAACTTCAGAATTCTAAGGAAATAAATCCCGAGAAATTAATGGGTGGAATGACATGTTGAGGGATTAATGACCTAACAGACTGGCAAATGAACATCCATGTCATTAAGGCACCTGTGTATCTAATACTGGATCCTAATATGCATAAGTCACTAACGTGATATTCCAATTTAGTGAAAATTATAGTTTAATTAAATTAACAATTTATGTCTCTTGATCAGTAGTTTTTTTCACACCCTTTTAAACTAATTAAGAAACCTACTTAAAATGCAAGCTTTCCTGACAGATAAATAATCAACAGTATGAACCATGCCAGTCTGAATCAGCAGAAATTCATTACATAATATAAGTGAACAAAAAACACTAACTACGTGGCAGGTACACGTATCAGCTGGCAGGTGTTAACACTACAATAAACTGTTATATAAATCAAGTTTATTCTGGACAGCAATCTGGTGATATCCGTGTTTAGGTGCTGAAGGGGTCAAGGGGTCAGGGAAGAGTAAACTGCGAGAAAGTGAAAAAAAAAGACAAAATGTCCTGAGCATAAATAGCCGAAGTAATAAACCAATAATATTTAATTATTTACGATCTTATTTACAGTGGGTGGAGGTTCGTATTTCATTTTATTGATAATTCCGTTATAAATCACCTTTGTTCACTGCCAACCTTAACTACCTCACAACGGGTGTTAGAGAAACATATAACAAGGTTCCACTGTACAAAGAGACCAGCTGTTTGAGCTTTAAAAACATTCAGAACCTGATCCCAATATATTATGTAATGGAGATCCAGTTCTATTATTATTTTTTCCGATATTACTGATAAAACCACAAAAGGATGAGTTCAAACCATGTATTAACCTAGACTTGTATGTCAGTGTGAGGAGGCAATAGAACAGCAACTGTAAACGATATTCTAAACTTAGATAATGTCATAAGACAGAAAACAAAAAATCATGCGAGAAATTGAATGTTTTGTCAAATGACAGGATCAACAAAGTCTGTAGCCACAATATTTACCAAGTCTCCTCTGATGGCGTTCCATCAGCTTCTGTTCAATAGCACTTTTGAATTTAAATGCTTCATCTTCGCTTGCAAAGTTAAGACCAGCTTGTACATCCTGTATAGTGGGAAAAAATAAAATACAAAATATCAAGATGTTTCTGATGTAAATTCATTACAAAAATATGACCCAACTACTTTCCTATGTAAGCTGTCATCACAAAGAAAATAAAATCATATAAATCAAAAATACCCAAATACAAAAGTACAGCTAGGTGTCACAAAATATCTTCCATCCCCACCCCTTCAACCTCAAAGGGAGATAACTCCACTTACCTCTGCCTCGAACGTATGAAAGTATTCCCTCGGAGCCTTGTACCTGAACTGGTTATAGATCTCTTGTTCCCAAATCATCTGGCCCTTCTGTTAAATACAGTCAAGTTCAAACATTAATTTCAATTATTTCTGTAAATTAATTATCATAAGAATTCAGCTATCAAATCAGAATTCTATACACATTACACCGATTCATACTATTTTCCTGACCAGTTATTTTTCTGGGGTCTGTTTTTAATTGATGAGATTGTTCAGCCAAGGGAAGAATAGAATGGAGTGAGGGACATAAAACTACGTCGCAGTATTCCTTTGTGATCTTTAATCATGGAGGATAATGGATACTATCTTTGTTATATAAATATATGAATTTTTGTTTCTTAAAAATAATCCTAATGATACCATTAATCCTTGATATATTGTGTCTGTAAAATACACTGTATTTAAAACTGCTGTGAATTTTTATTTTATAAAAAAAATACCTTTGATTGAAATCAGTTTCACTTTTAAGGTTTTAAGGTCCCCACTCTTTTAGCTTTACCTAAATCTATATTATTTGATGGGACAAAATCTAAACAACCATACAAAATATCCACTGTTGTTTCCTACTTGAAATTGGATGAATTTCAATCTACAATAGTTCTGATGAAAGCAGAAATTGTTCCTCATTATCATATTTTATATCAAATTTTCACGCCATTCTCTGCACAAAGTGACTTTCCTGTGTCTATTTTGTCATCACCATCTATCATCTTTCTTGTTTTTAAGGAATTTAATTTGAAATAAAACATCTTTAAATGACAATTACAGAATTAGAAATTCTGAAATGGCTTTAAACACACCATTTATTGATGACAAGTATTAACTATGATCTGCATTAGATTGAAATTCTCTTTAATCTCTGTCACTGATAAGTACACATCATGAAGAAGCACCTGTCCCAGGAAATACTTTATTTGGCACTAATTCTATAAAACACCTACACACCACAAATTTTACATTAAATCTCTACAAACATCTGCAGTCTAAGAATAATAACGAATCATCTGCTATCGATCATTTTTTTCACAGTAAAACACATGTTATTTAGCACTGAGTTGATGGGACCCTTACACAGTCCTACCTATATCAGGGCAGTCTTTAATCTCTGTGATGGATAGCTCCCTCACTGACATACCATAATATAAGCTTTAATTAAACTGATGGTTAAAATATTCAGCCTTATGTGTCAAAACTAATCACACAAACCACATTAATTCACACCTGAGTTTCCAGTACACAGTAATAAACATTTAAATTTTACACCTACAGTGATAACACTGATGGATAGTTATGGCAAAATTGATATTCTTCACTTCAAGTACATAGCACATTTAGACATCGTCAATTGTTCTATTTGTTACACAATTACCTCCCTTTACATGGATTAAAAGGGTTTAAAAACATGATCGAAATTATTTCCTGAATGGCAAAAAATCTGCTCGGTTTTCCATGTGAAGTGATCATTGCATGCATCTTATAAATAGACTGACAACACAAATTCCCTCAGGCATGTCATCGCTAGTTCTGTCGACCTGTGAGACATAGTCACGTTAATCATATAGATCTGGATGACTGAAATAAGAAGTCTGGTTTAAAGATAAAAAAAAAGAAAACATCCATTACCAGGAATTATGACAAGCATTCAAATTTGTTAAAAAAAGAAAAGAAACCCGACTTTTATACCAGGGCAGATAACTCCTCTGGATTTTCTTTTTTATTTCAACATGTGTCTGCTACATGTTAAGATTTCTCACAAAGAAAATAATTGGTCCCTAAGACCCTCCTGACCACTGGTCTCTCGCACCTGTCCCAAGGTATCTCCAGACTACTATTACTCACTAGGACTCTCTTGGCTACTGGTCCCTAAGACTCTCAATACATCTGGTTTCTAGCACCCTCACAACTACTGGTTCCAAAGACTCTCCACACAACTGGTGCCTAGGACCTTCTTGATTACAGGTCCATAGGACTCTCCATACAACCAGTCTCTAGGACCATCATGACTACTGGTCCCTAGGACTCTCCATACAACCAGTCTCTAGGACCCTCACAACTGTTAGACCCTAGGACTCTCCTTACTACTAGACCCTGGGACTCTCCTCACTACTGAACCCTGGGACTCTCCTCACTACTGGACCCTGGGACTCTCCTCACTACTAGACCCTGGGACTCTCCTCACTACTGGACCCTAGGTTTCTCCTCAATACTGGACCCTGGGACTCTCCTCACTACTGGACCCTAGGATTCTCCTCACTACTGGACCCTAGGACTCTCCTTACTACTCGACTCCAAGATCTATAATAATGTCAGTCACACTTCTTCGTCCTTCATCAGGCTTGCTGATCTTACTTTGTAATATCACACCTTTGTGTTGACTAATTTGTATAATACTTTCAAAGTATTCTAATTGACTTCACTAAAACCTGAATTAGTCTAAAGGGGGCTAATAGGTAACTAGACCAGATAGCAAACATATCTTTTTAAAAATTAACCTGGGAATCACACAAACATTGGAATGTATGCAACAATTAGTGAGTGTGTTTACCTAGGAGACGAGTATACAATTACATCAGACAGGATTGTATGTTTATGACTAATAGAAGAATTTTTTTTTGTTAATATGTGCACCTCTTGTTCCATTAATTATATGTGTCATAATACACTGGTATGTAGTAACAAAAGAGTTCCAATAACATCCTGCGAATTAGGTTAAAACTAGTCTGACATTCTTCACACTGTTATGGGACAATCCCTAACAGGTATTGTGTAACATTCCATTGTGTTACTTGTAAAGAAAACAATTCTTTGTTCTTTTATGATAGATATGCATAAATATATATCAGGGTATTTCCATTTGGCATGGAAGACGGTGTAGAAAATACCGGTAACATGACATATTTTACATCTAGAGGTATAGAGAGGTTAAAGTTCATCTTCTATATCCAAGGATTCAATTACAGATACCTTGAACAGACTAGTACATGTGACCTCTGAGAAATGCTTTCATAACATCTTATGATATACGTTCGGTGGCAATGGATGACATTCAATAGACTCTTGAAAATGCTTTTGACTCCCATTAATGAGTTTAACTCGCAAGTTTGAAGAGTCACGTCTATGAATATTTTGATCTTTCACATTTGTGATTTACTTTCTGTGATGTAATTGTCTGATGTTGAATGTTAACTGAATGTGCTACAACTCTAGTATGTATTGATAAAGAAAACTTCACAAGTTTTTATATATGATTCAATGTAGCTTTTGAAAGTACATGTATTAATATATCCCAGCATTGTGATTGGTTCTAGACATCAAAAACTAGCCAATCATATCACTTTTTATGATAATATCTGATCATGACAAATTCCATGGGTACAGAGTAGATACATAACATTTACAAAAGTGAAAGTACCAAAGAAAACTGGAATTTGTTATAATTATCACAAAAATATTTTTCAAAAAAAAAAAAAAAAACATGAATGTTTTTATCTTTATTCAATGAAAGTTCTCCAAACAATAAGGAAAAAACAAAGACTGATACAAATGATAAAATTATCTTCTTGTCACTGAAAGGTTAGAAGGAAACAACACGATATAGACTCAGCTGACATTTTTACATCCACGATAAGATCATGTAGCAGACGACACATTCATCACCTCCCAGCAACCAACCAGAATTGCCTGTTCTGTCTAGCCTTGGATTGTATTGCCCCAGGCAATTTTGTTTTTTTATCAATGTAAACCTTTTTTTTTGTTTCAGTGTATTATGAGATACTCAGCTGAGTGGTGATAGATCCTTTGTTTGTTAACCGTCTGTATGTTTAACAGAAACACATCATCTCTCCAGAAAATTTGTATATACAAACCTACTTACATATATATATATATATACATAAAGTGCTGACAGCTGAATTATTATTGTGACAAAAACTTTTTTCTGTTGAGAATTTGTCATTTTCTGCAATTTTATGTAACCTATTCATACCCCGTTGTATTTGTTACACACATTAACGGTGTCGATTTTCATCAAACCCACAAAATATTGAAACCTAGCCTTCTGACGGCCTCCTGTCATTACATTTGGACAAGGATATGAGTCAGAGACTACTGATACACCACAAACCACCTTGTCTATCTCTGTGTCTTCTCTTTTGTTTTACACTGATGCAATGATAACCTGTTTTATTATCCCTAACCTCCATGATCTTTTCTGACTCATTTTACAATGTGATGTGTCCTTCCGGGTTTCCACCGTGATGTGGTCGCAAAATTTCCATGAATCAGATCATTTGCATTATTGCCTGACACACTATTCATATCATCTCTAGTCACTCTAATTAGTAGCCTTTCCTCCTAACTAGAAATGGCATTATATGGTACGTTAAAATTCTGTATGTAAATTGAGCTTACTGGCATCCAAATCAAAATCATATCACAGATGTTTAAAGATGTGATGACATTTTCTTCTTTATTACTTGCTAACTAAATCTGAACAGAACATTTGTGTGAAGAAATGCTTTAAAAAATCAGGGCCATGAATTAAAGAATAATTTTAGTATCCAGAAATATATCTTAAAATCAATATGGAGTCTGCTCCAACTGGACTGGAGTAGAATTAAGATACTAGTGTTCTATACATTCTCAAAATAAACCAACACAGAACCCTGTCACAGGTAAATTTTAATTGATGTCTTTCAATGACTATGAAAATGAATGGAAATGCTAGATTCTAGGTGAAGATGTCACCTGTAGGGGTATGTTATAGGCTTATTCATGTCATATATCTCGATAAACTGTCTTTAAACTATTTTGATTATAACTACAAATTTGAATATATTTAATTATGATGGTAGAGTTTCCTTATATATTTCAGAAATGTCAAAATTCAATGTGGGTCTGTTGAGGTGCGACATCATTTTCAGTGTCGAGATGATAAGTTTTCTTTGTTTCAGAAGAACAGCAAGTTTGTGTACCAGTTTTAGGACCAGGTGCCCCATTGGTCTAACTTTACCGTATAGCTATAACGTGATACACGGTCAGCGACCAGATCAATAATCTTCTAACCAGAGTGACAGGCCATATGACCTATTACTTCTGCCATGTACCTGGTCACCAAAAAATGTACAAGGACAACAGGCCAAAGTGGACTGGAGAAAATCGGACATAAAATGTGGCACAAACAGTTTTACCAGCACATAACACTTGGCAAATATCAAAGACCATTAGAAAGGTCATATAAGGGCACAAGGATTGAGAAGATGAAAATTGTATATAAGTTGAATTCTAAGATCAAAGACAAGAAACGTCAAGGTGAAAATTGTTTCTGTTATGTTGTGTTATGTCAAAGGACATGAGAAAGGTCGAGGTAAAAAATGTCAACGCCTTTATGTTAAAGGTCACAGGACATCAATAAGGTCAAGGTAAACTGTGTCTGTTGTGTGATTGAGGGACATGTGAAATGCTAAGATAAAAAATGTATTTGTGATGACGTGTAAGATCAAAGGTGGAAGGAGATCTGAATGGCCTTGGAAAAAATGTGTCTATTATACTGTGTTAGGTCAATGGATATAAGGAATAGTGAGGTCAGAATATTTGTAGTTGTTTGTTAGGTCAAAGATTGTGAAAAATGGCAAGATAAAATGTGTCTGCTTTAGTGTGTTAGGGCAATTGTCACAGAACATTACATAGACTGAAGTATGTCAAAAGATATGGGACTTGAGAAAGGCCTTGTAAAATGTGTCTGTCATGGTGTTAGGGCAACAGATATGAGGAAGATCATGGTAGGCAGTTTCCAACATGCTGTGCAAGGTCAAACGTCCAAGCATATGTGATGGTAAGATCAAAGGTCATGACAAAAGCACAGGTAAAGTGTGTATATGACATTATGTTAATTCAAAGGTCATAGAAAGGCCATGGTCAAAAGTGTGTCTGACATGATATAAAGTCAAAGGTCATACTGCACAAGAAAGATTAATATATAATGTTTTTGTGGATGCATGCAAAGGTATATAGTCAAATTTTGATGCTTCGTAGGTCAAGGGACTAACAATAAAAACATTGATACATCGAGACATTCATGTTGGGTGACGTTCTCATGTTCATAACAATAGCTGATGACACAATTTCTACCAGAACAAACACAGTAAATACCCAAACTGTTTTATTCAGTGAAATTAAATGGAACATAACTTTAAATAGTAATCAATGAGAAATCAACAATGCATGTTGATGTTTACATTCATGCTTACATGTCATAGTTTATGTATTTTATGGATCAATTTCAAATGAAACGATATGCAGCATCAAAGTGCTCTTCACATTCAACAACAATTATTTTAAGACTGATACATAAATGTTATAGGCACTAATGACTTTCAAAGAAAGCAAATTGACATAACAATGTATTCTGTCCAGAAATGACTGCACTAACATTACACAGGTTATCAAAATTACAAGGGTGTTTGTCTACGTTCTGACAACGGCTAGTTTTCATCAACAGGAGAATAAACAGACAGATAAATCACAGAGTTTCTCATGCTTTTATGCTTAAAACTGATAAAGTGACACTTTGGAAATGAGTGAAATCATCATACAAGTGATAGGATTTCCTCCAATTGTTTTCACAATTCTATAAATTAGAGCTAACTAAATGCCATTACCACAATGGCAGCAGTGAACATCACATGATATCCTATTATCTTTTCTTAAATGTGCTGGATTGTAAGTAAGCAACTAAATTCTAATCAGAGTCCAGTCATTAATACAGACCCATTAACAATGTGCTATTGTAAACCCATTTTCAGTAAGCACTCTTTGTTGAAATGTGTGAAATTTTGCCACAGGGCGAAAATACCTGTACAGTACAGGTAAATGTTTTGTTCAAATCATAAAGTGTCAATAACTATGTTATCATGGTTAACAGTCTGTGAAAAAACTCTTATCCATCGAAAAAAATTGATTTATAAAATTTTGATCCATAAAGGGCTAAATTAGTAGTAATATATTGGAATGAAATCCGGGACCAGAAAAAAATTTGATACATCAAGAAATTTGAATCATATAAGTTTGATTCCTAGAAGTTTGACTATATGTTTCCTTTTCTTATCGTTTATGTTATGGAATGCTTATCCATTATCTATTTTACAAAAGTTGCAAAAAACAATATCTATCTGATACCCGCTGAAACTCCAAGTAATCGGGCAGGTGATCTTTTAACTTTTCACATCCATGGAGGGATTCCAACTCGGGATGCTTCCGTGAAAGGTGAGTGTGTCACCACTGCACCATTTAACCATCCACTGAGCACTTATATCACTATGGTAATTTTCATTAACAGTTGGTCTGACAGAACAATTGGACAATATAGAAAAAAGACCTTTGAGTCACAGCTTAGACATATTGTTTAACAATGAGAGCTTCTGAGCTATAGAGCAAAGTTCTTTTCACCACAATTATATGTGTTTCACCACCATAATTTGTGATATTGCTCCATTATCTATATGTTTTATTCAATTATAAAAAATTATCTTTTAAACATCAATCAAATTATAGCTTATCGATCACATTATCAGCATTGCCAGATTTTTACAAAGCTTAATCTTGAATTCTAAATTTTTGTAAGGAAAATTAATACATATGTACAAAGTTTCACTACCATGTCATTTTTTCACTTGCATGCATACACAACACACACAGTCTAAAGAAAAAAATTTCTTCTTTCTGATTCTACTTTACATGTATCTAGACACCAGTTCTTACCTTGATGTCATACACCCTGATGAAGTATGAGCGGTTTGGGTTATCCTTAATGAAACATGCCACCCCACAGAAACGTTTGGTCCAACGTGTTCGTGCCGGAGGGTCAGCAGTATACAACTGAACTACACCAGTTGCTAAAGACTGAAACATTGAAAAAAAGACATCATTTAGAATTAAGCTCCATCTAGAATAAAGGAACGATTTAGTTGGACATGCTTGAAAAATATATAAACTGCAAAACAAACTTATAGATCTTATCAATCACTTTTATAGGCCAAGATTGAAATGCTCATGGAGGCATTCTTTGGGATGAAGCTAGAGTACTTCGGGAAAACCTAGGTGATAAGACAGGTCACCACAAACCTTTTTAAGTTCAATTAGGAAACTTAAGCTGGTTAGGTGAATTTTTTTTTACAAAATTAGTGAAGACTGATTGAAGGTGACTGAATATTAAGATTTCAATGGAAGTTAAGCGTGGAATTGTTAGGCATGTTCTCCACAGTCTTAACATAATCTGCAAAATAGCAAAATCTGAGAAAAGTTAAACTGAAAGGAGTTAGGACAGTATTGATTTAATGTGTAATGTTTATTTTTGGAAAAACAAAAATTATAGCTATATGTTAATGAAGTAGGTATAATGTCTAATAGTTGTTTGTTATGACTCTGTTATAAACAACGCCTTATGGTCGCCTGGCTTTACCAAAATATCCATATATTTCAGCCATGATATAGTTCAGGTTTACACGTCATCAAGTTGATGCGACAAAGAAGACAGAATACACAACCAGGTCAGCTTATGGTTTCTCATACCCCATTCAAAAATTGCTTTTTATGCATTTCAGAATAAAGTTTCAAGTATATTGCCATATTTGATTGTGGTCTCTCTCCATATCCTTAAGTCTTGTGTATTCACAAGGCTAGAAGAGAAGAGAGGCTTTGAATAGCTAATTATGAACCGAGTTTAGCTCTCTATGTAAACTGAACAATTCATCACAAAGTACACACCAATGATGATTCTTCTCTTTTTCTAATTTTTTTTCAAGTTTTTCTTCATTCTTGATCTTTGTTTTAATGTGAAATGAAATGTTTAACTGATATATAGGTAAACTGTAACATTGTGCGCTTGATGTAGCAATAACAATACTAGGTAACCAAGATTGCCATGTATCATACTTTTGGTTTTTTTTTCCGTTCAGTCCCAAACAGGTGACTGAACATATATTTAGTTGGGGTGGGAAATGAAGGAGGTGGAAGAGTGAGGAAAGGAACAAGAGACCAGCACAAAGGTTGATTTAAACAACACATCAAAATGGCCAGCATCGCAATATCAGAATTTGCCAGCTAAGTGACATTCATGAATATGGGCAGTTTACATTGGGGACTATACAGTTGATTGTTCATGTACCAAAGTTCTGTATGTAAAAATGAAGTGGTTGGCCACATGGCATACCCCTCTTGTTTGTTATATTTGGCAGATGTTAATGGGTTTGGTAAGTGAAATCATGAAGGTGCCCAGGAACAGCATTGAAAGGTACTTGAATTAGAAAATGCATGGCCAGACTGATCTTTGGAACTGGGATCCTCTGAACTCTAGATGGATTCTCTATCAACTGAACTACCAGCTTGCCAACCCAGTCCAGTTCAGGTACAGGCAGCATGTTCCCTTGAAACCTGACAGGTTCTCTCAGTGACCCTGAAATGCCACCGCTATAAACAACAAAAGGACATTGCATATGCTGAGGATGCCAGGTCAGACTCATGGAAGTTTGCAATGAGGACATCAAGTGTGGTCAATTGATGGATTGATGACTGCTCAACATACACCTCCAGTCTGAATTACAGTTTTATATCAGCTAATGTATAATATTACTCTGTTATGTAGCACGTTTTGTGTCTTGACCCTAAAACACAAACAGTGTCAACTTATTTGAGTTTTAACTGCTGATCTTGCATCCAAAATTATCTGATAGTGAAAAAGTGTGAAAGCACAGGGAAATCAAACCCTAGTCTCCAGCATGATAACTCCACAGCTCTACCATCACAGCCAAAGAAGGATGTGCTCCATTAGCAAAGTGGCAGAAACCGTATTTAAACTATGTAAAAGTGACACTAATGTGCTTTCTTTACACAGTTAATCTGTTTTTCTTCTCAATATTCTAAGTACCACAACCTATGAGATTTCATTGAATACTAATTGGGAGAAACAAATTTCTGCTGAAAGCCCAACAGAACTTGGGTCATGATGTTTCCAAGACTATATCAACTGAGCTAAACAAAGCATGACCTGTCAGCTGACTGACAGAGACTACATTTTACACTTTGTACATGCCACAATAAGTTGATAATTTCAAAAAATCTGGGTCAGGGATGCAAGGTATGTGTCCATCTGATTGCAATGGAGAATTTGTGATGGTGTCTGTCAAAAGTTTCTTGTCTTGTTGAGCCTTTAACTTGGCTGGAATAGCTCAGGAAGAGGGGCGGGGTACATATGAGGTCGCCTCTACATGTGTCGTACACATCAAGTCTCCCCAATGCAATTGAGAGGCTTTTTATTTTTCATTGTAATTGCCAATATCTACTGTGAAGAAATAGGCAGTTGTGAGTATTGTTCAATTGTCATGCATAACCTTACTGATTACATGTATGTACACAGACTGTGTGTTTCACTTAAAATATTTCTTACCACACATCCTCTGCCCAATATCCCGAACAATTGCTCATTTTCAGAGTTATCTAGCAGTAGAGAACCGCTATTTGATGCCCTTGGTCTATTTCTTCGTTGGTTTCCCTGCGACATTTTGTCCCTTTCTTGCCTTTTGTCAACTTTTTGTCTCACTTCCTTGTTTAAAACCGGATGTAGATGTATTTGCTCACTTCCTGTTAACGACTAAAAATAATAAAAATAGTCCGTTAGTTCATCCCGATTTACAATGTGAGCTTATCATCTTCGTATTTTATTATATCACATGATTCAGCATCATCAGTTCGTTTATCATAAAGTAGAAACGACTGCTGAAAAACGAAACACACGCTCAAGAATATTAACTCTAAAGTTCAAAGAGGTCAAATGGTAACTACCAACAGCTGATCGAGCGGCGGTCGACCGTGACATGGTAATGTCGAGACAGACAGCTGACAGTTGAATGGCTAGAAGTTGAGAACGACAAGCTCCGCCCACCACGAACGTTAGTGGTGAGTGTAGTTTCTTTATCTCATAACCAAATACGTAATGCACAAACAAACCTAAAGAGGTGTATTATTGAACACTTAGTTCTAACGCGAGGTTGTCTCATGCTGTCGCATTCAATGGTGTATTTAAACCGGTTGAGAACATCAACACAAACTTTTACCTTGGATATTACACACTGACAGCTGCACATACTGCCAACATTGCCATCCACACAACAAAGTGGTTCATTTCTCGTGGATATATATTGGATTTTAACATTGGTTCTTGTGTACTTTATTGAATAACCACCTTATTTTCATATTGTGTACAACTCCAGCGCGGAAACAGCGAGTCCATGCCTTGCTGTGGGGACTGTGATGAGAGGTGTGAGCTGGTGTAACCTATCCCTGTGGCTGCCGGGGTAGATGTGAGGCTGACCATGCCTGCACGAATGATGGACGAGGAGTTTCTGTCGGGTCTAATGGAGGGAGGGATGGGGCTTGGACCAGCCTTACCCGTGCATACTGCACACAAACACAACCTAAAACACCGGTTTGAGTTGATCAAAACTCTTGGAGAGGGTTCCTATGGGAAGGTTAAACTTGCCATGGAGAAATCTACCAGGGAACAGGTATATAATTAAGTTTATTTCCTTATCATTTATCCCCTCAAAAAATCACAAAGTTCAAAGTTGATCAGATATGCAATTTATTTCCTGATTTTTAGGGGGAATCAAGTCATTGACATTACATAGCAGAGTTAAGGAACCTGCTTCAGGTTGCATATGATGTGGTTTGTTCATATTTTTTATCATGAAGGTGTATGTATTTATACTGATTTAAGTCGTCATCTCTATAGGTTTATACTTAAGAAGTAAAATTAATGTTTGTTTTGAAATAATTCACTTTTACTTATCAACAGTAAAATTTTATGGATTAAACCAAAACAGGATGTCTAGCAGAGTTGACATTGGATAGGGAGATTTATCTTTACCCGTTTACGTGTTACGGTTTATCAGTACGGTTGGGTATTAATTTCACTTGGTACTTTATGTATGTGGCCTTTTGTTTGTACCTGAGAATTAACCCAAATATAAATACAGGTACACTTCTGTAAAAACCGGTTATATTATCTATCTTCATAAGCAGTCAGATGAATACCAGCACGGGAATTCATAATTTATTATTACACAAATTATGAACTTTAGACCATCTACTGCAGTACACAATGTAAATGTTTAAGGAATGACTTGGGTTTTTCCTAACATGGTCTAGAGCATTTTGTCTGTGTATTTTTGTATAGTTTTTATCTATACTCTACTCATATTAAATTTTTCAATAGATTTTTTTTAACTGATATATTACCAAAAAAATAATCTCAGTAGTAGTAATAGGAAGTGATAGATAACCAGGGCCGTCATGGAGATATGGATCCCTCTGGTAATTGTAACTGTACATGATATACATGCTATTGATCAGCTCATTAGGTCTGTGACACATTTGTTAAGAGACACTAACCATTAGTCTAACTCAAAACCCACTCAAATCAATACACACTGCAGCTTCTGATTCTTCACCATACCAATCGCTGTCACTTATAAATAAAACATCACATACTTTGATGTTTATGACATCGTAAACATTAATGTTTATGAAGTCAATGTAGCCTAGGAAGTGTATTTTTTAAATTCAGATTTGATTGCTCTGCCCAACTGTCAGCTGAGAACGATGATGTCATTTGAAACAGTTTTCAGTAAACTCTGGACAATTTGTACAGCTAGAGGTGTAACCAGTTAGCGTTATTCAATGTTATCTGACAGTTTAAAACATGACTCATAAAAACACGAGCGATAAAGAGTTTAAACAACATAACCTGGAAAACTTGAACTTTCATCACAGAAAAATTAACTGAATTTCAGTTCAGATAAATACAGTGACAAACAAGTCATCAGGACAGACTTGGTAAATTCTGTTGTTGTTTTGTTTTGACGGGAAAGAAGATGATTTTTTTATATCAAAATTATATTGATATTATCATTTGGTTGTGTAAGTTTTAGAGTGTTATGAATTTAATTTTTTTAAATCTTAAAACCTATTACATGATCCTGTAACTATGGTACTATAGTTAATTGACCTACCAAACAGAGAACTCTCTGTGTACTAATCATGACATTGCATTTCATTCAATATGAGAATTTGTATTGACCACAGATCACATCACACAGAGAAAATGTACTTTGTCCTCAAATCAGCTTCAATCACTAACCATTTAACCAAATGTCTAAATATTGAATATTGTGAGTCAGGAGCTGAAAGGTGCTTTTGTTTTCAAACTCTATTAATATATATATACATAAATAAGTGGTATTACAAAAGATCTAGCTGGTAGTGAGATGATATCTACCTAATGGAAGACGGTTGGGTTTCATATCGTAGACCATGGTTGACATTTCATCATTACAATAAAGAAGTCATGTGAGATTAATTATGTTTAAATATATTTGTCTTTTTACTTGTATTGAAAAATTAAATCGATTTAAATTTTTCAGAATGTTTTAAATGTTTTTACATTATAATTTATGGTAGTTTTTGTATCATAATCATACATTTAGAATTTAAAAAGAAATAATAAAAATTGCAGGTATGATAAACCATTTACAAATGATATTTATTTAAATTAGTTTATGTAAATATTGTGACCATTTTATCATCAAGCTGTATATGACAGCTGAATTTTAATCACTTGAGTAGATGCCATTACTCTGACATGTCAAGGACAATTGAACAGTTCATCCTGACCTCTGGTCAACTGTGTAGACTATTTCTCACTGTGTTCCTTTTGGGGACCCTAAGTCATTAATTGAAATTTCTTACACCTTGGTAGTGTGTCTGGTGTAAGTGCACAGTGACCTCTGGGTCATTGACGGATTGCCCAATCATTTAATACCTGGTTAAGGGTTTTATCTCGCAATCTCAATTCTACATGTCCAAGGGGTGTCTTCTAATTCACTGAGGTCAGAGGTCATGTGTTCTTATTGACTATATATTGTATAGAGATTTCTAGTGGCAGACTTGTGTTAGAATTTCTGACAGACTAAATATCAATACTTAGAAATTAGGTACAAAATGTGGGCTATGTCAATGGTCTTTGTGAAAATATAAAAGTGAAATCAACGTGGCCCCTATACTTAAGATCTTATTGAAATATTTCACATTGATAGCTGTAGAAGAGGGCAGATAATTGTCTTTTATGTAAAAACCTGCATGGTGTCGATTGAAGTGAATAGCATCAAACGCTTTATGTCTGCATGTGTATATTATTATGTGCGCTAGGAATTTGAAATGTGTGTTTTTTATCACCAGTCTTAAATGATAAAGATTGAGGGTCAGTGTAACTTCTTGTTGAAATAATAACAAAAAGAAAGGGAGGATGCCGAAGGTAATTGTTACTGGAGCGTAACCTTTATAGCCCATGAGACTATTAATTTCCAACACTGAAAGGGACAGTTATACCAAGTCTATAAATAGCAGGTTATGAAAAGAAACATTTAAAGTATGTAATTAGAATATGAATGGTAGAGTTGTACAAGCAGATACCTCGTTTACTCTACACCTGTAATTATATGGTTGTTTGGTCAAACCATTCTTAAGTGACCATATTAGATTATAATTACAGGTTTTAGTCTCACCTCAAGTGATCAAAGTGTGCGTACCTTTTGACACCTGTGGTTTTGTGTCTCACGTACAGGTGTGAATATCTCATCATCTCTCTGTAAGGATGGCTACCTGTCTCATAATTTACAATATCTGGATAAATTAACAATTTATTGAAATAAATCTCCATAAAATGCACCCAGAAATTTATGTATTTCTAAAAATGTTTGTTTGGTATGTCGGAAAGACAATGAGACATATGTACCCAGGTACCTGATTATAGATGTAAAAAGACATGTTCACATAAGTGTGTAAATGGTATATATGTAAAATCTCTTATCAAAAACAATTAAATGATATCATCTTTTTGAAAAGATAAATTATAGTATTTAAATTAAGATCTATTTTTCGCACAAACACAACAGTCTTTTAAATTTGCAAAGAGAAGCCCAACATTATCGTAATAAAAATTAAACTGTTTTTAAAGGACAAAACGCGTCTGTGATGTCATTGACATCTATCTGTGTGACAACACAGAACGAGAATTACTGAAGTGTCTAATATGTAAGTCTTTATGAAGGGTGATTAGTTTTGTATAAGTTAGGTTAACCGGTCATTGCGACAATGAATGGTCGCCTCAAACCTTATCGTCTTACAATCAAAGATTATCTGTCAAGGAATGCTGTTTGCACCAAGGTTTTTTCTCATGACTGTTCCCAATAGAAATCTGAGGGTAGTATTATCCTATAGCGTCTTAGGAATAGCAATGTGCCCTAGGTAATATAGAACAAAGGTCTGCTAATACCGGGCATTGTGTCTGGATTAACGCCACAACGTTGATTGTTATTGTAAAGTATAAAAAAACGTAGGTGTATGAAGGTGAATCACGATCAGTATCCTATATTTTAGTGTAAAACTATCTCTATTATCAAGAATTTATATCATATTAGTAATATATTCCAGGTATTCGCTTTCAAATTTAACCAAGGCCGGGTTGATATTTGAACAGGTAATCAACGATTTGTTGGGGTACCGTGTCCTCGTTTTTTACATTACCTTTGTTGGTTTACCTGTGCCTTCTTGTGCCTTAGTGCTGATTACATAGGTTTTCATTAGTCATAAAGCAATACTAAAACATGATGATTGTTTCATTTCCCTGTACATTTTCAAATAGCATTCCTTCTAGCTTGATAATGGACATTTTCTACTGAGTCTTGATAATGGACATTTTCTACAGAGTCTTGATCATCAATCACTTGGTTTATTTTGCCATTTAATGATTTATAAAATATTATTAAATTAGCAGTCGTGCAAATTCCTTATTTTGTGGTTTAACAAAGAGAACATTTTCTAGACATATCATGTTTGTATATGCCAAATATATCATTTGATATGATTTGAGTCATAGACCCATGTCCAGATTTAGACTCCGAGTGGGTGTGTAACAAACCACAGGTATTTTTTAAAGTGCCACCTAAAGGTAGAATAAGGTGACAGAAGTTAGTTTTCAGTGTTTTATCCCTTCCACATGAAATACTAGACTAAAGTTCAATGTGATTGGTAGATTGGGGTTTGGAATGGAGACTTTAAAAGTTTGAAGTCAGCTGTAGGAAATTTTCATTATGGAGTTGTTGGTGGGGGGGGGGGGGGAGTACAAAACAACGGGAGTAGGTCACAAGTCTACTTCAACACATCCTGGTGTACATGCTTTCATACCAGATACATGTAACATATAGAAAACATAGTTTTCAGGTAAACTTATTAAGCTGTTAATGTCTATTTGGGCTGTTTAAGATTTAACTGTGTGTAAAATTCTAATCTGTCACGAATCTTGATAGAAAGTAGTTCTTTACACCGATCGTTAAAACTCTTTGATTCACCTGATTTCTGTTGAAATGTATTCAGATACATACATTGGACATGGGTGTAACCATTTTGATTAAAAAAGAATACCAGTTTTATACTGCAGTTGACAACAAAAGTCTCTGGGGTCTTCATTTATAGGTCTGTCTCCAATCTTACCTGGGCCATTAGCTGTGGACAACAGGTCAGAATTTTACCGTTTGCTTTGATTTCTTTTCTTCAAGTTAACCTTTTAGAATTTCTTTGAAAAGAAAATGACAGACAAGTTCATAGAGCCAATTTATTGGGGGGTGGGGGGGGGAGAAGAACAATCATGTTTTCATACTGAATGAAGAAATAACTATGAATATATCTGAAAGTAGATGTTTCTGGCAAATAAAGATTATAAAACAATTTAAGTTAAGAAAAATATAAAACATATTCAATATCCCATGATATACAGGTAAATTACAGATAAACCACATAATATTGAACTGAGTGGGGTCACAATCATGACATAGAAACTTCATATTGCCCTCGGCACTCACAGTAGGTCTCTTGGTACGTTACAACCAAGTATTAATATGAAAATATTGTGACAGGGTAAATGTACCCAATAAACTTCAATTTCTTGTCGATCATGGTTAGGCGTACATCTATTAATCCGTATATATACTATACACATGGGTACTTTAGCAAGAAATGCCAGGTCTTGTGACCTTAAGCACAATTATCCAGGCGATTAAGTCTGCTGTACAAGTTGTTTATTAATATGAGTTGGTAGTTTTGTTAGTCTAGAGATTAGCTACCCTTCAGTTCAGCCATCTACCACATGTAGATAGAAAACACTCTGTCATTGTTTACCCAATATTGTTGAATTTATTCATGCTCATAATCATGTACATATTCATCTCTATTGTTTTCCACTTAAATGACTGTGACCTTCAAATTTCTATGTCAATACTACTAGTTGTGGTCAAAATCCTGAAATAGAGCATGTTTTTGACACCCTTTATCACCATAACTTGTTTTAATTGAGTTCTGTTTGGCACTGATTTTTACAAATTTCATTTCTAAACTACCAACTGTATAAAATACATATATACCTTGTTACAATAACAAATTTTAAAGGCGTTTAAAAGTTCTTCAAATAGGTCTGTTAAAGAGAATAAAATTTGTGTTTCCAGTTCATGAAAGTTAGGACGGGTTCCCAGCTCACTAAAGTTGGTGAGAGTTTCCAACTCTCAGCTCACTATTTTTAAGAAGGATTCCCAGCTCACTATGGTTAGGGAGGATTCCCAGCTCACTATGGTTAGGGAGGATTCCCAGCTCACTATGTTTAGGGAGGATTTCCAGCTCACTATGTTTAGGGAGGATTTCCAGCTCACTATGTTTAGGGAGGATTCCCAGCTCACTATGTTTTGGGAGGATTCCCAGCTCACTATGGTTAGGGAGGATTCCCAGCTCACTATGTTTAGGGAGGATTCCCAGCTCACTATGTTTAGGGAGGATTCCCAGCTCACAAAGACTATGGAAGGTTCTAATGTTAATGCACTGCAGATTTGTGAACAAGTTTTTTTGATCTAACAATTTGGTGTTTGTTGTGTGTTAAGGTGGCCATAAAGTACATAAAGAAAGGAAAGATCAACGATGATACAGACCTTACTCGACTCCGCAGAGAAATTAGGATTCTGTCCTCATTAAACCACCCTAACATCGTCAATGTCCGGGAAGGTAAGAGTATTTCTATTTATTCCTGACTGTTGTTACTATACAAAAGCTATCATTAAATCTGTAGTGTTTTGTCTGCTGTATTGAATTTAGAATTTTGAAACAAAATCAATGTAAACTTGAACTCGAAGCAGGTGATCAGCATGTTGGATACCATACAAATATACTGCAGAATACAGGTACTGTTAACAATTTTCAGGAGCTGCTATTTTACAATTTTAAATACTCTACTATAGCCTAAATATGATTTTGTTCTCATGGACCTAACTGACTCCTAGTTTCTTCTCTTATCAGTGATAACGTTACAGATGACAAATTAACTTTTAGGACTGATAAGAAAACGTTTAATTCTGACAAGTTTGGATTGTTTTAGTAAAGTGAAAGAATATCGTTTGGCCCCATATTGTCGATAACAAGCCATAGTTAAACAAAGGATGAAAAGTGAGATTGTTACCATGGCAACAACAGGACAGCCTTACGACCACAGAGAGGATGATGTCACCCATATAGATACCTGACACATTGTGTGATCAGTCCCTAGGCCTGTTAGGAGGGGACTTCACAGCTTTTCATAACCCTCATTATAGCCTTTGAAATGTTTTCTTTTCCCTCATAGCTGGGCAGATGGTTTCCTAAGTGGCCCTGTATTGTGTTACTTCTAATTCATTGGTCACCCTTTCTAAGGGCAGCGCACATGCTAAACTATTTCACATCCAACTTGCAAGAACAATACAACATCAAAACGTTGGTGTAACCCAGATGTTGGGAGCTTGTTAGAAGTGAAGTCTGCCCCTGATTAGAATGTCTGTGAGGCTATTATCAATAGTCTTTGTCTTACTGATCTTACAATGTATTAGTTATAGTCAAAATTACATGATTGCATGTATAGGAGGTAGCTGGTGTAATATTTCATTACAAAAAATGTGATGTTGCCATGGGAATTGGCGACTGGTCACTGCTGGTGATTGTATGTCAGACAGAGTTTAGGGCCCTGTCTGTCACAGAAATTTTGAGTTCTGTTAATATTGACATGTTCTGTGTCTGTTTCAAGGTTACAGTTGGTATGAAAATGCGTGTTTTTAAAAGACAAGAAAAAGAAAGGTATCGTGATTCATTAGGTTGTTTTGATTTTACCTGAAATCTAAAAGGTAACATGCAAACAACATTTCTGTAGAACTCACTGTAGAAAACGATTAGAAGGATGGATAGAACTCACTGTAGAAAACGATTATAAGGATGGATAGAACTCACTGTAGAAAACGATTATAAGGATGGATAGAACTCACTGTAGAAAACGAGTATAAGGATGGATAGAACTCCTGTAGAAAACGATTATAAGGATGGATAGAACTCACTGTAGAAAACGATTAGAAGGATGGATAGAACTCACTGTAGAAAACGATTATAAGGATGGATAGAACTCACTGTAGAAAACGAGTATAAGGATGGATAGAACTCACTGTAGAAAACGATTATAAGGATGGATAGAACTCACTGTAGAAAACGAGTATAAGGATGGATAGAACTCCTGTAGAAAACGATTATAAGGATGGATAGAACTCACTGTAGAAAACGATTATAAGGATGGATAGAACTCACTGTAGAAAACGATTATAAGGATGGATAGAACTCACTGTAGAAAACGATTATAAGGATGGATAGAACTCACTGTAGAAAACGATTATAAGGATGGATAGAACTCACTGTAGAAAACGATTAGAAGGATGGATAGAACTCCTGTAGAAAACGATTATAAGGATGGATAGAACTCACTGTAGAAAACAATTAGAAGGATGGATAGAACTCACTGTAGAAAACGATTATAAGGATGGATAGAACTCACTGTAGAAAACGATTAGAAGGATGGATAGAACTCACTGTAGAAAACGATTAGAAGGATGGATAGAACTCACTGTAGAAAACGATTAGAAGGATGGATAGAACTCACTGTAGAAAACGATTAGAAGGATGGATAGAACTCACTGTAGAAAACGATTATAAGGATGGATAGAACTCACTGTAGAAAACAATTATAAGGATGGATAGAACTCACTGTAGAAAACGATTATAAGGATGGATAGAACTCACTGTAGAAAACGATTAGAAGGATGGATAGAACTCACTGTAGAAAACGATTAGAAGGATGGACATGAGTCAGATTTGTGGGGCTCATTAAAGATGTTCCTGTTCATGACATCATTACCAGGAAGGGGTATTTTTCTATCAAGGCTATAAGAAGTTTAACCGATATCAAAACAAAATGATTATAAGGGTATATAGTAAACAGTGGACAGTACAAGTGACCACAATGGCTTAAGTGATGACCATCAGGACCAAACAAATACTCGCGTGGGGGAACAGGACAAAGACTACACAGGCATCCATCTTTGTTTGAATCGGGGAGGTCTGACAGTTTAAACCAATTCACCATCTCTTAAGTACTTAAATTATTGGTCATTTGTATCGGATATTGATAGTACTGGTCAGCTCAGACCACCTAAATAAGTGTTTATTCACCTGGTCTTTTGTGGTCAAGCAAATCTCCCTCGTCTACACAGTGGCCTGAATACACTCTGTATACCGGCTCAATAAGTACTTTGGGTAATGTGTGCAGGCTTGTAAATATGGTGACATAAACACATGGCTGTCTGCACAATAAACAGCTTTGAACACCTCATAAAATATCTGAATTTTAAACTTATATCGATCTGTTGTAGCTTGTTAAGGAAACACGGATTCTTTACATTCTTAGACCAGTCATTAAATACTAGTGTTCGCTCGTCTCATAGGCGGTGTTTGAGTTACACGTAACAGTATTAGCACAACCCTTGTAAATATAATGTATATAGGTGATCGAGGAAAAGAAAGCCACCAGTGTGTAATAGAACCAATCGAAAAATGTAAGGTTGCATGACTGACAAACATATGTACAAAGTGGCCAGGTTGAAGTGACTGGACAAATAATGGAGATCAATAAAATTGGCATTACATGTTTTCTGTGTAAAGGTGATATATGTACTGAGACTGTTTGTTTTTACCTCCAGAAATTGTTATGTTGTGTTACAAAAGCTATTGGTAGGAGCACTTTTCTGTTGTTAACTTTAGTGTTTGTGTATGAAACTATTACCTAGAGCAGAAGTGGTGTTAAAGTGCTAAATTGACAGGTCCATGTGACTATATGGACAGGTCCGTGTTAGTCTACAACAGGTCCATGTGACTCTATGGACAGGTCCGTGTTAGTCTACAACAGGTCCATGTGACTCTATGGACAGGTCAGTGTTAGTCTACAACAGGTCCATGTGACTATATGGACAGGTCCGTGTTAGTCTACAACAGGTCCATGTGACTCTATGGACAGGTCCGTGTTAGTTTACAACAGGTCCATGTGACTCTATGGACAGGTCCATGTTAGTCTACAACAGGTCCATGTGACTCTATGGACATGTTCGCACAATTCTACAGACAGGTCTGAGTAAATCTAAAGACAAGTCCATGTGAATCTTCAGACAGGTCTTTGTGACTGGTCCATATGAATTTTCAGACAGGTCCATGCGTCTCTAGAGGTAGATCTTCAGACAGGTGGTCTAGAACGTCATTAGGTCGAGTCGGTGTAGTAAGTAATCCGCTATTTAGTAAAATATAAATAAAAAGATATTTCACACCTGTGATAGGCAATTGCCAAGCTTCCAAAATTCCAGAAGTGACATTAGACCATATGTAATATGTTAGCTGTCTGCTGACTGGAGAATCACTTTCAAAGCTGACCTGATAGAATGGCTTTTTGTGACAAGATCAGAGTAACCCGATAGACTTTTGTAGTTGTCCTATGTTAGGAATCTTTGTTGATTGGTGACGGGGCTGTACAGAGCTATTCAGAGTGTTCATTTTAGTGTGACAGCAACTACCCAGGTGTCTTAACACTGCAGCTATCTCTTTTCAAACTTAATATTCTTTTGTAAGCTAAATAACTGGCATGTCTTATGTACATAACTTTCTCCATCACAATACATTGTTTTTGCAATACTCTGTTTTATCATTTCCGTTATGAGGTAATTTGCGATGCCTTTATGACATAAACTCTTCTTTAGTGATAAAAGTTATACCAAATAAACATTAAAGAAAGATTTATTGAAATTTACACTCTCAATTTTGAAAGTCATTCTACATAGTTTGAAGTTTAGAATTATTATATAGTGTATCATGTGCTGTTGTTCTATAGAATTATTATATAGGGTATCATGTTCTGTTGTTCCATAGAATTATTATATAGGGTATCATGTTCTGTTGTTCCATAGAATTATTATATAGGGTATCATGTGCTGTTGTTCTATAGAATTATTATATAGGGTATCATATTCTGTTGTTCCATAGAATTATTATATAGGGTATCATGTGCTGTTGTTCCATAGAATTATTATATAGGGTATCATGTGCTGTTGTTCCATAGAATTATTATACTGTTGTTCCATAAAATTATTATATAGTGTATCATGTGCTGTTGTTCTATAGAATTATTATATAGGGTATCATGTGCTGTTGTTCCATAGAATTATTATATAGGGTATCATGTGCTGTTGTTTCATAGAATTATTATATAGTGTATCATGTGCTGTTGTTCCATAGAATTATTATATAGGGTATCATGTGCGCCAGATCCACCCTCTCTACACACTGTTTACCACTTTGGTCAGCATATCACATGTTTCACGTTGGTCAGCATTTTTATACTTTTATTGTGCTGTTCATGTAAGAAAAGATTTAATTCAGCTTTATGTAATATCGGGGCTGACCTGAGGTCAAACGAGAGATAAGACCTCTCATACCGCTGGGGTGCTAACATAGGTATCAAAATCCAACTAAGGGGGCCCTGTCCAGTGATTAAAGGTCAGATTGATCCTACTAGGGGGCTTTGTCCACCCCATAAATCCAGAAAGGGTCTATATGTGGTCAAGAATGTGCCCTTCATACCAAGTTTATCAGGTCTGTAGCTGGAGTAGTTCCAA